GTGAGGCCACATAATATAGGTCAGATGATCCAACAACATGGCCCCTTTCCAGTCAAGGATCCAAAAATACAAAGTTCTACCTCAGATCAGACCAATGGAGTAGTCACTGTAAAAACTATCCTTTACATGAATGAGGTGCTCCCTGGAATTTATGCAAGTCACACACAGAACACTTGGTTAAGTTCAGGCATCAGTTTAATCAGTACTCCCTGTCTCAAAAACAGTTTCAAGAGTTATTGCACAGTTTCCATGGAGACTGAACCTAAAGAATTCTTCTTTCTATTTCTGTCTGTGAAAATCCCATCACATTTAAGCTGCCAAGTTTCTCAGGAGAGCCTGAAGGATTAAAAGTGGCAGTTATATCCATGTTAGTGTCTATCACATGCCACTTAATTATTTTGGAAACATATTTACCTTTCCATATGAGGAAAATATCTTACAGTTTCACATGTTTGATCAGATAGAAGCAAATTATTTAAGGACTTCCAACTACATTTCCACAGCGAATGTATTATCTGAAAACCTCCTTATCTTCTATTCCATCCTACCATACTGGCCAAAGATATATGAGCTACATATATCTAATGCACTTCCACCTCACAGGTAGGCTCTTAATGTCTCTCACTGCATGCCCACAGGCAAACTGATGCAGTCCAGGCTAGGAAAAGTGGATAGTCAGGTGGAATGAAAATTACTGAGATACTGCACAAAGGCTACTTGGAGGCCAGTCACTAGTGATCAACAGGATGTCACACACTGGGGCCAATACCATTTCATGTCTTCATTAACAACCTGGGTGATGGGACAGAGTGTCCCCCTCAGCCAGTCTGCACACAACACAGAACTGGGAGGAGTTGCTCTGTTCAGGAGGTGGGTCTGCAGACGGGTCTGCTGCCACTCAGGGGCATCTCAACAGGCTACGGAAATGGAATGACAAGAAACTCAAGGAGTTCAACGTGCCAAATTCTGCACCTGGGGAAAAGTAAACCCATGCACCAGAACAGGCTTGGGGCTGACCATCTGGAAAGCAGCTTGGCAGAGGGCATATGTTAATCCTGCTGGACAGAAAGCTGAGCATGAGCAAACAATGTTCCCATGAAACAACCCAGGGCTGCAGTTGGAAAAGTAGAGCCAGCAGGTTGAGAAAGGTGATCTTTCCTCTCTGCTAAGCAGTGGTGAGATTTCATCTGGAGTTCTGGATCCAGTTGTGGGCTCCCCAGTACAGGACAGACATGGGTGTACTAAAGTGAGTCCACTGAAAGCTCACAAAGATGATTAAGGGATTGGAGCATCTGACATACAGTGGGAGGCTGAGAAAGCTGGGATTGTTTAGACTTGAGTAGAGTAAGCTCAGCAGGGTTCTCACTACCGTTCATAAATGTCTCATGGGCAGAGGTGAAGCAGATGTACTGGGATTCTTCTCACCAGTGGTCAGTGAAAGGATGAAAGTCAATGGACAAAAACTGATATACAACAAATTCCCCTTAAACACCAGTAAACAACTGGTTAACTGCAAGTGTTGCCATACACTGGAACAGGTTGCTCAAGGAGGCCCTGGAGTATCCCTACTGGCTCTAGCTGACCTTCCTTTGGACAGGAGGGCTGGACTCCAGACTCAAGTATTCTCTGGTTTCATAAATGCAAAATGAAGAAAGAGGGAAAGGTATACATGTGTACTTGCCCTTAGGCAGTGATGCCCAGTGGAACTCAGCTTCAAAGAACTTCACCAAGAAGCTCTGGTAAGCCAACACAACAGATGCAGCTATAAATTACATGGGCTGTGCTAAGCAGCTGGAATAAACAAAAATAGCCCTGAAGTCAGTTTTCCCTGTCTAGGTCAACCTCCTCTTTTAGAGCAACAGCTCTAAAAGAGACTGCAGGATGCTAGGCTCTTTGCTAAGAACGGCACTGCTGAGTGGTTCTGGGGGCATCCATTCATCGAAGACTGTACCAGGATGGGTCAGGAATCCTGACGACATCCTGTGGCAATATAATGGGACCCATTCAGCACACTCCACAAAGGAGGGCAGCTGATTCTTTTAGACCTTCCCATCTGGAGGAAGCAGGGAAAGGATCTTCATCGTGCTCTCAGGACCACATTAGAAAGGAAAGGGTTTGAATTTCACTGACCAAGGCACATTGCTTATAAGACAGTTATCAAGAAGCTTTTATAAAGAACATCCTAAAGCATCTTAGCAGTTTTTTTAAGAAGTTCAGTCTCCCACACATTCAAGAAAACACATGAAGCAGATGACCCTCTGCCTTCTGCATTTCCAGCTTTGATTCCAATGAATATCAACAAGGTAATGGGACAATCATTTGGACAGCAATGGCAAAGCACAAGAGTAAAATAAAAAGCATACAGACCAAATTCTGAGCAGATTAACATACCAATTTAAGTAAGTCCCAGCAGCTAGAGATTCCAGTCCATTTTTGTGCACTGTTTCATAGAGGAAACAACCTTACCAATTGACCCAAATGAATCTTAAAAATGGCTACAGACACAAGCTGCTCAATGGAATCTACTTACATAAGTGATGTGGGTATTACAGGTCGTAGCTACCCACTTGAGCGCAGGTTAAACCAGCACTGTACCTGGCAACACTAATAGCTGAGCTTTTAATCTGCAAAAATTCAACCAAGAAAACATCAGAACAACAACCAACACTACTACAGAGGCATATTATTTGAAACAATATTAAACAAGTACAGATAAAGATTTTGTTACAGGAAGTTTTTCATTATTTTGTCAGAAGAGCTTTCAAAAAACATGCTATATGGTATCATTTTCTCTTCATTGTATGTTAGTGTTCATCACAGCCTGTAGTCTAGGTTTTAAACAATGTTAAAACTGCAGCTTTCTAAATTATGGGAACTCTTACTCTTTCCCCATCCCTCCCCAGACAATGGCATGAGCAGTTTACTGTGCTCACAGTCCTCCAAGCACAAGCAGAAAGTGTCAGTTTCAAAGCACCTACAGTGTAATAGTGAAGAATGGAAAGTGGGCCTGCTAAAAAAAACCCAACACGACACGAACAAGGTTGTGAACAGTGAAACCATACAGCACTGTTTTAAACAAAGCATGGTAGAGGTATAAAGGAATTGGGAAAAACAGGACTTTAATAGAATACAAGCAATACCCGGGTTCATGGGTCACATATTTCCTAGAAGACAAGTGGCAGCACTTTTTATATGTACATGAGCCCCCTTCTTAAAGAGAGTTGAAAGAACGGAGAAAACTTGAAGAGCTTGGATACTAGAAAAATGTATTGATGGAGTAAAGGAGTAACTAAAGCTAAACTGAGGAGCGTTAGAGTTCAAACTTAATCTGGTGTCAAGTCAACAGGTAGTAAGGAAAATTCAAGAAAAGGATCTCTTGTCTCTTAGGATCAAGACATCAATAATTAGTGTATTCCACATCTACTCCTCCTGAAGCAAAAAAAATACCAAAATGAACAGAGTAAAGGCTGGTTTTCAGATGCATTATACAAGAACACCAGTACTTAGACCGTAGGGATCTATGTAAGACCAAAGATGACTTCAAGCTAGCTGGCCTCAGGCTGAGAGGTAATGTTCTAGAGTGAGTCTCAATCTACACTAAAGGCGTGCATTACTAGAGCAATACAATGGCCCAGCACTGGGCTGCATAATTCCACAGCAACCAAGCAGAGTTGCTAGACATCTTTAGAGAGCAATATAGCAGACAGACAAATCAGCCAATAAAGGCTAGTCACTGTGAATACCTGTTAAAGGTGCCTGTTAATACAGAACAATGGACACAGTGACTGTGCAGGGATTTAGTCTGTTAGAACAGGTCCCTGCTGGCTCGAAAACCTCCCCTAGATAGTGCAGCTGGATCAGCTGGGGATCCCATCTCTTTACACCTCTAATGAACACACACCAGCCAACACAAGTTCAGAGTGCAGGCACAGCCCAAAACAAACAAGCAGAAGATGAAAGTAAAACAAAAAAAAAGCACTGACACGATGAGACTGGATGACACTGTAGATAAAAGGGAGTCAGAGATTTACAGAGGATGACCATGAATAAGGCAAAGAGCTGTGATAAACTCAATACTGCCTAAAAATCCCACCTGCCAATCCTACTGCAACATTTTCTTCATCAATAAAAAAAATGCATTTCAATTCCACAGAAAACAGAGAAAAGACACTGAGATGGTAAGAATTTAGTCACTGTCAAATGTTATTTCTGTGAAAATATATCAAGTTTTTGAATTTTGGCATTGATACAATACAATACAGAACTCACAACTCCTCTGTCTATTTTAACATACTGCATCACCCCCTTTGAGTACCCTGAAAAATGAGTTAAAAACAATTTTAGAGAGTCCAATTGGATTTTACATGAACACTCTTAAATTATCTGGCATTTTTCAACTGTCTTCTTAAAACTCTGAAGCACTAACTCATTTTAACTTTTTCGCCACACAAGATACCCAAAGCACAAATATTTTATCTACAAATGACTGCAATAACCAGTAACATACAATAATATAAGTATGGTTTATCCATAAAATGTTGCATGTCACTATGTGAAAGAAGGACAGACATTCAGAGAACACCACGTTAGTTAAGTCTGAATTCTATTCTACTCCTTTAAAAAGTCTTTCTCGGGTCTCTGACTCAGTAAGTTCTGAGAAGAATGTTTTTAGGCAGAACATGCTGTCACAACAAAACGTAATAAAATTTTAAGTAATTTAGCACAGCAAACTGAGAATGCATTCAGAGAAAAAAAATTAGTGAAACATACATGCATGTTCCCAGTGCAAAACTTCTGCAAACGAAATTAAACTGGAAGAGTTAGGTGATACAAATTCATGCCGAAGAAAGAACGTGCATTTTCTTAATAGAAAACTAACTTCCAAGGAAAAAAAAATTACCCGACCAAAAACTATTTCTTTGACAAAACATACACTTTATGGATGGTATTTATATCTGCAGTACACAGAGGAGCATTACTTTAGTTCAAAGCATGATTACCTGCTAACTTCAGAACTTAAGTAGCACAGCAGATGAATGGCCCAAAGAAAAGGTCCCGCATATGTTGCAAATGCCGTAAGGAAGATAGCTGGTATCTCCACATAGCTTTCTAGTCCCACAAAACCTGCTGAAACATCCACAGTAGCAATGCCATTTGAATTTCCCTGAAAACAGAGATAAAATTGCAAATACTCAAATATCCCCAAAGACACATTTAGAATACATTAGAATAATATTAATTGTTGCACCATTTAAAGACTTACTCTTATTCTTTACATCTGAATTTTAATAAAACAGCATACCAAACAAATGCTTTTATTTAGGATTTACAGACTAATGAAGGCATAAACAGCATGCTATTTTGCATATTTTGTCTGCAAATAAACATGACTATTGTTTAATAAATTACATTAAAATTAATCTAAAGAAAGCACCTACACTTGCTGATTTCAGTTGCACTAATGAAAAAAGCATTTTTCAGCACACATGCTTCAAACACAAGATTTTAGAACTGCTGCCTAAAATTACACCAGAAAATAAATATTCCTTGCCCTTAGAGACAACAGGACTCTAATTTAGAGCTGTAATGGAACATTACATCGCCCACCTGCCTGTCCCATGGCACAAGTGTCTGCATGTAAACAGATTAAGACAGGAAAATTTAGAAAGGTTTCTGCTACCCAAGTCTTATATCACAAAAGACTGCACTGAAATGGACCAAAAGTCAGCCTAGATAGCCTGAATCATCAATAAAAGACATTTAAAACCTAGTAAATGAAAAATAGAAGGAACATACAGCAATTACCAAGACTTTTGTATTTTATGTAGTTTTCCAGTAATCAAACCCACTAAATACCAAGGAATAATACGAAATTGAAAGAATTGTTTTTGACTGAAAATCCCCAAGTATTTAACTTTACTCAAATACCTAAAGTAGCAAATACACCCTGTGATTAAGGCAGAATGGCCAGTTACCCCAGGAAAGAAGTGCTATCATCACATACACATCTGTCACAGAGTCCAGAGTGCACGAAGAAGCACCAAACATAGGTAGTTTTTCAGGTACATAACTAGGCAGGCACCAGTGACAGCAAAAAGAAAAAAACTGTTCCTGAAACAACTCTAAATTCTAAGAGGAGAAAGCCATCCATGTTGACAGAACCCTTCAGGGTTCATTATAAGTAGTCACTGTCCTCATGGATCCTACCATGAAGATGTCCTCAACATGTAAGGGGAGCCTGAAGCTGTAAAGAGGGCAGTAAGGTATGAATTTTACAAAGACATCATACAGCAGAAAAATCTTGACTTATGACCGTCAGTCTTCCTCATTTTGCCTTTCATCATGCACCACTGTAGTAAATTGCTGTTACACTGACCGGTGTAATAAATTACTGTTATGCATTTAGTGTAATTTTAAGCAATGACAGGAACAGAGCAAAGAATAACTAATGATGAGCAGCTAAAGAAAAGGCATATCTGTGCCCTAGAATGTGCAAGATGAGATTGGAAAAGAAAGCTGAAAATTAAGGCTACTCCTCAGGTTTAAGGGGTATAGACTGAGGTCATGGCAAGAGCAGAAAGGTCAAGTGTAGCACTTTGAAAGCAGGGCAGGGTGCTGCTCCTCAATGAACAAAGGTTTGACAGGGACAGGTAGGGAGACAACCTGTCTTCTTTTCCCCCGTCCCTGTCCACAACAACAGGTCTTTTCCCCACCACAACTTATTTTTCACTCCCCTCCTTCTCTGCATGATGTGCACAGAGTAGAAAAGCTAAGACATCAGGAGATCGTGCTCATGCCACAAAGAGCTGAAACATCTCTTTAACACTGTTTACTCCACCTTGTTCTACACCTTCATCATTTTAAACAAAGTCAAAGACAGAGGGAGTGAACTCGGTGTAGAAGGAACTCAGGGAGTTGAGGAAAAAGGCGAGAGCACTGTTCCTGATTTCTTCTTGCCCTCACCACCTCCCCAAGGGGAGTACATCTTTTTGCCCTGTTCTGCAGGACCAGTGACATGCACTGCAGTGCTGCATTTATTCTTGCTCTTTCTCACATGTAGTGGGGCGGGGAGGTTCCCCAGGATGCCAAGGTTCTGCTGTCTGCAGACAGACCCTTGCAGGTTTCAAGACCCCAAGCAATCTGGTTTGAACCTCACAGCGGACATTGCTCTGAAAACAGGATGGAACTATGGGCCTTCCGGAGTCCTCCCCAATGTAAATCACCCTACGATGCTTTGAAATCATAACAAGAGAAAGCTACAAGCCATTTGAAAACATCACTCAGACCACCTCTTTACCTAGAGGCAGGATGAATTAGATATAAATGATTCTAAAAATGTACAAACCTATTCTGTTTTCTTCCAATGATAAAAAGCACCAGAAAGTATAAACCAGTCTTAAAGGTTTTGAGACTGTATTTTCTTTCTCCTGTTCTGCAGATATACTGCACTAAGGATGGGAACAAACCCACACAAGACTAATAAATAAACATGTGGAATTTTTGTTCATTTATAAGCTTTACCCAAGGTAATGAAAATATTTTTAAGACATATTTGCTGCAAAATAGATTTTTTAGGAGCTGCTTTAGTTAAGAGAAACAACCAACTCATCTATTCTATTCTCACTGCATTTGAAGGGTAAGTGGCAATGATAAAGATACAGCATACTTTTGAGAAGTTACTGATGAGTGACAAGATGTGGACAACAACTCAAGAGCTTAAGAGAACACAATCGACCATTCAAGCTCATTGAAAAATTCATCAAGAGGTTCTTGAGCTTGCAATATCTTGATAAATGAGAAGCATTCCGACAAAATGTATTAATTTCATATATTTTTGAAAATTCTGGAGTATTTTTAACTTTAAACTTTTGCACAAAGTGTTAAAAAAGCAAAGACCCTACTTACTAAAACAAGATTCAAAAACAAATTGGTTTTACCCAGTTCCACATAAATAACACAGCAGTTTATCCAGAAAATCTCTAAAAACCTCCAAGCATGAAGACTGTACCTACGTGAGCAACCTTTTCCACGGCTTACTATTCAGAAAAATCTTGCTAAAAGACTGGAAAAATGAGATAATATGTAGTTTTCCCATTTAAATTCCAACTGTTTAACAAATTTGCTGTTTAGGTTCAAATTGTGAGAGAACAGAAAAGGCCAGCTGGTTCTGCAAGGGAAGGTAAGCTGCGAAATGAGTGTGAAAACAAGGCAGGTGAGAGCAGTAAGTCAGGACTGTGCAGTGGCAATGTCCAAGTCAGGGCTGGATCTGGAGACAGGGATGAGGGCCAGATGCAATCCAGGGATTGCAAATCTGTCCAAGATTAGGCCAAAAAGCCCAGCCACCAGGTCCAGGTCTAGGTCAGGATCGAGAAAATACAAGACAGGCACAGACACACCCGCTTACTCAGCTGTGATACAGCACAGACAGCATCAGATTAAAGCAGTTCCAAAAAGTAAAGTCGTGTCAGGCCCTTCTAGCTTTTCTCCCAACAGCTCCTGTCTACGAAGGCTGAACTCTGCTAACTAAACTCCTAGACAGAGATGCAATCAGGATCCTGACACAGATGAAGCGTAGAATGCAAAACTGAGTGTAAGATCAAGGTATTTGTTTTCAACCTGGCCTTAATTTGGGGTGTTTTTTCCTACTTATATTCAAAATTTAAAAATTAGCTTCCACACCCCTGCACTTTATTTTTTACCCCATGTTCATCGGTTATACCAGTTGATCAATGAAAAATAGTATCTGTCCCTATGAACCTTGCTTACTCTGTACACTTAACGATTTTCACAGCTCTACGTCCATAAAGTCTTGAAGGACCCTACAGTATTCTTTTGGAAGAACACTGCCTCATTCATTAAATATGCTATCCTGAACAGGGCTATTTTTAGCCAGTATCATATTCAAAAGGCCAGCACTTCCATTCCACGCTCAGCAAGACAGAGTTACTGCTTTTGTCATTTAGTACCCCCTTGTCTACCAAGATTTAATAAGGCTCAGCAACACGGACAAGAAGTCTCATTCTCTTCCTAATCACACCAAGACATGTGCAAAAAGCAGTCCTCCAAATCTCTCTCCTATTTCCAGATGGAAGCGCTTCATATTTATTTTATATTTTTCTTCTCCTGCCTCATTTAGCTAGCACAGTTTAAATTTAGTATCCAATCTGATCGACATCAACAACAAATTTCAGCAGTTTTCAATTTTTGTACTTGAACCTGCTCTCATTTTTATGTGTACATTAGATCTTTATGCCTGTCTGGAAATTAAAACTCCAGCACCACTCTAAGCCCAGTCAGTTTCATAGCAATAGCTCTAGGAACCACAAAACTTGAGGGGAAAAAAAGTCAGGGAAGAATTTAAATCTATGCCAGCAGTGCACACGACACCTAATAATACATTTGTGCTTCCTTCACATCTTAGAATTCTAGCACCAAAAATCAGTCATCCAAAACGTAAGACCTCAGTGCTCATGGTCCTGGTCATGGACAGGACAGGCAACTGCTAAATCTGGGACAGCTGCACTTTACTCAGTAAGAATGGTGTCACTTCACTGTAAGGCACTGAACTAAGGAAGGGATCTGTAAGCCTTCACCAAGCAAAGATCTTCCTGGTTTTCCCACAAGGTAGCAGGTTAAATGGCTTATTCCAACAATTAAAATCGGTTACTAAACCAGCATGGGTACTTTCAGAGTTCCACCTTTCATCACCCAGTTAAGGAAAAGCTGGAAAACGTACATAACCACATGAAATCACCTATGGCTTCACCCAAGGTCACTTGCCTATGGTACTGCTGAGAGATACAATAAATACTTAAAAGTTTGACTGCCTGCATTTCTCACAAGAGGTGTGAGCAAACAGGAAAACTGCATGGCCATGAGAAGAGACTGTTTGGAACACACCTGAAGGAGAGATTATCTCTACGTGTCTGGGAGAGGGGAGTCCCAGTGTAGGGAATAGATTTTTTTTTCCAAAACAGGTATAGAAAATGGCGCAGAAACTGGTAAATGTTCACCTGTTGTATATCTGATACGGATCCTGCATCTATAGTTCAGCAACTAACAGTTAATTATCAATATATAATTGTCAGATAATTAATGTGTCACTAATAAAACAATAAGACACTTCAATCCTGACTTTAAGCTACACAAACTGAGCAGTTTTTCCCTTGCAACAAGTCATTCTGAACTCAAAGGAAAGGGAACAAGAAACTTAAATATATATATATATATAAAAATCCCAATTAATAGGCAGTGGGTTTTTTTAAGGTTATCAGCTTTTAAATTTTAACTGGTAGTGCAGATCAGAATGCTGCATACTGAGCAAAACAATATAAAAAGGTCATGAAATCAAACATAATTTCTGGAGGAAGCTGCTTCTATTCTTGGATCTACAGTCCCAGACTGGAAAAGCTATTCTGAGAATAAATTGAGAGAAATTTACCAAATGAAGAGAGAGCATTAATTAGATTCTAGGGGCCTTTGTAACCTCTGTAATTTTATGAACGACCAGCTCGACCATTCTGCTTTTCTATGCTAATATTTTGTACATCAGATAACTGCTTTCAATTGTGAACAGCAAAAAAACCTGTCCCTCTAAGCCTTGTATGATTTAATTTGTTTCTTTCCATGCCTTCAGAACAGATTTTTTGTCAGAGAATAAAAGAACAAAGGTAACATCCGAAGACTGGTGTTTTGGTCAAACTCTTAATCTCCATCCTAAAAAGGGTATCTAATGTAAATGTACTTACAACACTTTTAAAAGAGAACTGAAAACTTGTTCTCTAAGGAACAGGGGGTGTTAAAGAAAATCTCATCTGTCTGGACTCTTAAAAGCACTTTTTCCTTTAGCAGAATTGATTTCTCTATTTCTGAAACATCTCTAAGATGTTCTGAAAATAGAAAAAAAAAAAAAGAGAAATAAAGAGAGAAAATAGAGAAGTAGGTCCCAATCACAATTCTTCTTTCTCTTCTACTACAATTTGTTTGCCATTTTAGTCAGTCTTGGGCATGGTGACTGCACACACACACCTTAGTAGACAGACACAAAAAATAATTTTTTGTAAAAGACTGTTGGCATGTTCTTTTAAAATGGATACATTTATAAAAAGTCCTATGCTAAAGAGAGTTAAGAATTTGTCAGAATTTTTGCTAAGCTGTTGCTCAATCACAGAGTCACAGAATACACTGAGTTGGAAGGGACCCACAAGGACCATAGAGTCCAACCCTTAGTTCTGCACAGGACCATCCCCAAGAGTCACACCATGTGCCTGGAGTATCATCCAAATACCTCTTGAACTCTGTCAGGCTTGGTGCTGTGATCACTGCCCTGGGGAGCCTGTTCCCGGCCACCCTCTGGGGGAAGAACCTTTTCCTAATATCCAACCTAAACCTCCCCTGACATAACTTCAGGCCATTCCCTCAGGTTCTGCCACTGGTCACCAAGGAGAAGAGATCAGTGTCTGCTCCTCCTCTTCCCCTCCCAAGGAATTTGTAACTGCAATGAGGTCTCCCCTCAGTCTCCTCTTCTCCAGGCTGAATAGACCAAATGCCCTCAGCTGCTCCTCACACAGCTTCCCCTCAAGGCCCATCACCATCTTCACTGCCCTCCTTTGGACACTCTCTAAGGGCTTCATATCTTTCTTATATTGCAGTGCCCCAAACTGCACACAATATTCAAGGTGAGGCTGCCCCAGGTCAGATCAGAGCGGGACAATCCCCTCCCTCGACCGGCTGGTGATGCTTTGTCTGATGCCCCCAGGACAGGGTTGGCCCTCCTGGCTGCCAGGGCACTGCTGACTCAGATTCAACTTGCCATCAACCAGGATACTCAGGTCCCTTTCCGTGGCATTGCTTTCCAGCCTCTCATTCCCCAGTCTGTACGAACACTCAGGATTGCCCCATCCCAGGTGCAGAATCAGCACTTCCCTCTGTTGAAGTTCATGTGGTTGGTGATTGCCCTGTCCTCAATTTGTCAAGGTCTCTCTGCAGGGCCTCCCTGCCTTCGAGGGAGTCAAAAGCTCCACCCAGTTTTGTGTCATCTGCAAACTTGCTCAGGATCCCTTCCTTTGAATCATTTATGAAGATGCTGAAGAGCACAGGGCTTAAGATGGAGCCCCGCAGATCCCCATTAGTTGTACCAGCTGTGATACTCTCAGTTAATTTCTGGCAAGTTGAAGTCCCCCATAAGGACCGTCTCTCATCACATCTCCATGAAAAAACTGATGTAGTCCAGGCTAGGAAAGTGGACAGTCAGGTGGACTTACAACCGCTCAAATGCTGAGCTCACAGGGTTGCCATCAGCAGCACGAAGTCCACTTGGACGCCAATCACCAGCAATGAACCACAAGGATTGACAGTGGGGCTGCTACTGTTTAACATCTTCACTAATTACCTGGACGATGGGGCACAGTGTCCCCTCAGGAAGTCTGCACGCAATACATAACTGGGAGGAGTGGTTGATACAGCAGATGGGTCTGCAAATGGGTCTGCTGCCACTCAGAGACACCCTGACTGACTAGAGAAATGGATTGTGAAGTTCAGCAAAGGGAAATATCAAATCAAACACTTGGGGAGGGATAAAACTATGCCTTTCCTCACACTGGGAACTAACTGTATGGAAAGCAACTTAGCAGTCATTTGCCCTTTGTGCAAAGACCTACAGCACCTAGGACTACATTAGGGAGAGCCTCACTAGCTGATTGAGGGAGATACTCTATTCCTTCTACTAAGCCAGATCACATCTGGGTGCTGGGGTTCAGTTCTGGGCTTGCCACCACAAGAAAGCCACGGCTGTACTGGAAAAAGTCCACTGAAGCACCTCACAAAAATGATGATGGGAAGAAAGCATCTGTAATACAAACAACTATCCAGAAGAGCTGGGTCTGTTTACTCTCAAGAGAAGAAAGCTCAGCAGGGATCATAACAATGTGTATAAATACCTGATGAGGGGGTAGTACAGAAAATGCAGTCAGACTGACCTTTTAAGTCACTCAAGAGTGACTAGCAAAAGGATAAAAAACAACACACACAAACTGAAATACAAGAAGTTCTGTTTAAACATCAAAAAAAGCTTTTTTAATAGCTATGGTGGTCAAGCACTGGGACCAACTGCCCTGAGAGCTTGCAGAGTCTTCATCCTTTCAGATATTTAAAATAGGGAGTGGACATAGTCCAGACCAACCTGATCTATTTGATCTGCTCTTAAACAGAGGGAGGATGGACTGAATGATCTCCAGAGGCATCTTCCAGCCTCAACTCTCCTGTAATTTCATGGTTCTTTGAAATTCTCAGCCAAGTGTGCCAAGAATTCAGCATCACTCAAAATGGATTGCTTTACAAAAACATTCATAACATTCTTTATTGTCCCTTTTCCATAACTAGGATTTTCTTCCCAGCCTTTCCCGCCTATCCACCATTAAATTTCTGGCAGCTGTTTTCACTTGGTACCTCAGTACTGAGAGGGCTCTCTCTTCAGCCTCCTGCCAGCCACACTAAGAGCTGCTCTCTTAGTAATCAAAGGCCGTCATCAAAGCTGACTGGTGAACAGTAACATTGAAAGCATGCAAAAGCCATTCAACCAGTAAATGTTACGTCCTCTGAGCAGGAAAACTGGGTAGGAAGGGAAGAACCACGATGATCTTACTTACATCAGCAATATGCTATCTGGACATGTACTCCCAAAGCAGAGTCAAGCCAATCCTCAGTCTGTAGATATGGAGTAGGACATACCCTAAGCTTGACCACAGTTTTAACATCCCCAGCCATGCCTTAGAAGCAAAGCCAACACAGGCCTCACCTTGAACTTTCACGACAAATCAGAAAACCTCTTCTCCTAAACCAGAAACAACCTGATTCCCAATATCACAAACCTAACTTTAGATAGCCTACTACACTGTTTCCAATGCTATTAAAAGGAGAAAAATCCTGTCCAATGGTAAAGGTCCTTTCCTTCCATGCTAAGGAAAGTTTTTGTGCAATTTCAACTTTATTTGCAATGCAGACAACTATGTTACTGAAATCAGTAAGGCTCCTTAGGAAAGAAGATACAATTAGATAAAATAACAAAGAAAACTAGTTCTGATATGAGAGATACTACATGCCACAGTCTTAAACTGTATGTATACCTATTTTGATGCAACCAAAGTCTTGTAATGCTCAAGAATCAGTGACAAATAGTCATCTGCCTTTTATCGGTATTAATCAACTCAGATGACATTTTTTAATTAATTATCACCTGAGCAGTATTTATGAGGCCCACTAACAGACCAAAATCATGCTGGTATAGGTATCTGATCCTTGCCACACTTTTGGAAATCTGTTTTGAGGATTAGACATCAAGGTATGCATCTTTCCCTGATTCTAAAAACAAAACATTAATAAAACAATTAGAAATCAAACCCTTCTGAGAACTCAGTAAACTCTTCCACCCTAATATTTAGTTACCATTTTATTTACAATGGACAATATTTCTTTGAAAAACTATTCCAGCTCCCACCTCTGCAGCATGGAGAGTGTTCAGCTTACCTGAAAATAGAAGAAAGCTTGGCCAAACCAGTAGTGCATGATAGTAATCTGTGCTGCGTCAAATTTCAAAGGTCTCCAAATGTATTTTGTCATCATCATCTGAATCAGCAGGCAAAACACCAAGACTGGTAAATTGTGAGGTCTAAATAGAAGGGCTGCTAGTAGAACCAATCCGCTATATACTTCCCATAATCCTGTGCTCTTCGTGCTGGAGTCTGCAGAAATAACCTGTGACTTTAGTAAATCTTTAGTGCCAGTGAAGACTATGCCAAGAACAAAGACATAAACAAAACGAGCTTCAGTGATCCCCCTAAAGAGAAAATAAAATTGGAATAAATAAATAAATAAATAAAACAGAAAGATGAGTTATTTACTAATACTTACTTCACACAGTCTTTCAAGAGAGGTCAAGACCAACCAGTTCTGCCAAACAGGTCAAAATCTAAGGTTACTACTGGTCAACTTCATGAGAGAGCTTTCTTCAATACAAAAACCCTAGGAAGGGTTCATACTTGAAATAAAACAACTCCAAATCGACTTCAGCAAAGAAAAAAGCTTGTGCTAAAAAACTAAACTAATCTAAAATATAAAAATAAAATTGTATTTCACAGATTTCACAGAATATTCTGAGTTGGAAGGGACCCACACTGATCATCAAGTCGAACAAGTCACTCTCCCATACAAGGATTGAACAACTAATGTAACCAAAATAAACTTATGCTAATACTATTCAAGATCTAGATCCACAAATATATCCATATAAATATGTCATTTATATAGCATAATGAATGTTAATAAAAAATACTCCTTTGAGAGATATGGAAACTTTATTTCAGAAACTAAATTGACTTAAAAATTCATATATCTTTTAAGCTGTTCAGTGATTTTTCACAACTCATTCACACAAATATGCTTCTTTTTAGCCCACTAAAACAACAGTGAGAGTATTTGAAGATCCTTATTTCAGTCTGAAATCTTTGCATGCTTCAGACATTTTCTCACCTTAGACAGCTGCGTAGATGTACATATGTGCTGGTTTATACCAGCACATTTTTTCCTTGTTAAGTGTAGAGACTTTTCAAATCCATTTGAAAAAAGCAATTCCATTACAAAAAAACCCTGAGTTTTAAGTAGTAAGTGTAATTGGCATTTATGCTATTTTCAAACCACCTATTAATTCATTTGCCTCTTAATTACCAGTGAAAGGCAGCTTCTGAATAAAACACAGCATGTATTCCAAAAAGCTGATAAGGGCAAGGACTAGTAAGCTTAAAAACTGTGACCTGCTATTTTAGAAGAGCAAGGTCTGAAAAATTAAGAAAGCAAAAGCAAATATCCGTCAAAATGTAGTGACATTCTCATGTTTTCTGGGCAAAAAAAAATGGATCACATTGGTGTGCGCTAGGCTGGCAATAATCCAATGAATTCACCAAACGAGCACGTGAGAAAAATCTGTGGTTACAGATCTATTTTTTTATCTTGCAAAAGATAAAAATGCACATTATCTACACACTTAATCTGTAATTTAATATACATTATCCTTAGGTTTCACAGGATCACTGACACACAGAATGGGTCAGGTTGAAAGGGACTACAGAGGGTCCTCTGCTCCAACCTCCAGCAGGTTGGCCCCCAACCAGGTGCAGGACCGTGCATTTGCCTTTACTGGAATTTCAGGTTATTCTCTGCCCAGCTCTCCAACCTGTCGAGGTCCTTCTGAAGGGCTGCACAGCCCTCTGGGGTACTGGCCACTCCTCCCAGCTTTGTATCACCAGAGAACTTTCTGAGGAGGCATCTGCCCCTTCATCCAAGTCACTGATGAACAAGTTAAACAATACTGGGCCCAGTATTGAACCATGGGGGACACCACTAGTGACAGGCCTTCAACGAGACCCTGTACCACTGATTATGACATTTTGGGAACTGCGTTCAGCCATTTCTCAATCCCCCTCACTGTCCTCTCATACTGTTCACACTTCCTGAGTTTGCCTATGAGGATGTTGTGAGAAACATCAAAATCCTTGCTGAAGTCAAGGTCAACAATATCCACTGCTCTCCTCTCATCCATCCAGGTAGTTGTCTATTGTAGTAGGTAATCAGGTTTGTTAAGAACAATTTACTGTTAGTGAATCCATGATGACTACTCATGATCACCTTTTTTTCATCCATGTGGGTAGAGATGGCCTCCAAAATGAGGTGTTCCATCACCCTTCCAGGGATTGAGGTGGCCAGTAGTCCCCTGCACCTTCCTTCTTGAAGACCAGGGTGACATTTGCTTTCTTCCAGTCCTCAGGCACCTCTCCTGATCACCATGACCTTTCAAAGATGATCACGAGTGGCCTCACTGTGGTGTCCGCCAGCTCTCTCAGCACTCGGGGATGCATCCCATCAGGGCCCGTGGATTTGTGGATGTCAAGTTTGTGTAGGTGTTCTCTAACCCAATTCTCCTTGACCAAGGGAAAGTCTTCCTTTTAACATTATTTTACCTGGTCTCCTGGGTCAGAGATTCCTGAGGGCTGGTCCTGTCAGTGAAGACCGACACGAAGAAGGTGTTCAGTAACTCCACCTTCTCTGCATCCTCTGTCACCAGTGTCCCCCGTCCATTTAGTGATGGGGCCACGTTATCCTTTGTTCTCCCTTTCTCACTGATGTATGATGTAAGAGGCCTGTCTTGTTGTCCTTGACATCCTTGGCCAGATTTAATTCCAGATGGACCTTGGTCTTCCTTATCTCATTTCTACCTACTCTGACAACCTCTCTACATTCATTCCAAGTGACCTGACCCTGCTGTATACATATCCTGTGTACTTCCTGATTACACTTGAGCAATGACAGGAGCTCCTTGTTCATCCACATGGGTCTCATGTTCCTTCTCCCCGATTTCTTGCTCATCAGGATGTGTCATTCTTAAGCCTGAAGGAAGTAATCCTTGAACATCAATCAGCTGCCCTGGACCCCACAGGGCCCACGGGATACTCTCAGGAAGATCCCTACAGAAGCTAAAGTTATCACTCCTGAAGTCCATGATTGCTTGCTGCCCTGCTTTCTCTTTGCCCAGTACTGAACTCCACAAGCTCATGGTCACTACAGCCAAGGCTGCCTCCAACCTTCACATCTCCAGCAAGGCCTTCCCTGTTTGTTAGTATGAGGCTGAACAGCACAGCATTCCTTGTGGGATCCTCCACTACCTGTGTCAGAAAGGTGTCATCAATGCTTTCCAGGAACCTTCTGGACTGTTTGTGCTTTGCTGTGTTTCATCCAGATGTCAGGGTTAATGTCCCCCACAAGAACCAGTGACTGTGACCTTGAGGCTGCTTCAAGCTGCCTGTAGAAGTCCTCAATCACTTTCTCCTCCTGATGAGGCAGCTTGGAACAAACACCCATAATGTCACCCTCACTAGTCTGGCCTTTTATCCTCACCCATAAGCTCTTGATTTGCTCATCATTTATCCCAAGATAGAGCTCAATACATTCCAAGTGTTGCCTCACATAGAGGGCTATTCCGTCACTGTGCCTTCCTGGTCCATCTCTCCTAAACACCTTGTGGCCCTTCATGACAAAATTCCAGTCACGTCAGCTATCCTACCACATCTCCATAATCACAGTGAGATCAAAGCCCTGTGACTGCTCACAGATCTCTAGTTCCTCTTGTTTGTTTCCTACACTGCACTGGTGTACAGGTTCTATCTAGAAGTATTTTCCATATAGAAGTATTTGATTTATGTCACTATCCAAGTGGGGGGTGCAAAGTGACAATCCATAGCCCTGTCCTGTGGTTATGTATTTGGCTGCTTGCGTTTGCCCAAGGTATCCCTTTTTAGGACTCCTTTTGCTACTTCTGTGGTTGCTACAGTCCTCCCCTTCCCACACCTTATCTCTGTCAAGCCCAGCTATGCCCCCATCCCCCTTCAAGTCTAGTTTAAAGCTCTCTTAAGGAGTCCTGCTAACTCCTAAGCTATGATTTCCCCTTTTAGACAGGTGGGCAGGTGTTGCCAGCAGGCTCGGTGTCATATAAACCGACCCATGATCAAAACCCTCAAAATTGTGCTGATAACACCAGTTTCAAAGCCAGGTGTTCATCTGCCTGATTTTCCTGTTTCTTGCCCCATCAATTTCTGCAACTAGCAGGACAGAACAGAACATGACTTGTGCTCCAGATCCCTTGACAAGTTGTCCCAAGGCCCTGAGATTCCAATTGATTGTCCACAGACTTCTTGTTAGAACTTTGTTGTTACCCGCCTGGAAAACCAGTAGTGGGCAATAATAATGGCTGTACCAGGCTAGGAAGTTTCTTGGTGATGTCCCTTACCTGGGCCCCAGGGAGGCAACACACTTCCCTATGGATTGGGTCCAGTCGGCAAATCAGGCCCTCCATTCCTCTCAGAAGGGAGTCACCAGTGAGTACTACCCTTCTTTTTTTCTTGAGGAGGTTGTGATGCAGGGGGTGAGCTGCCCTGCCCTAGGTAACCTCTTCAACCTGGATGGCCATCCATTCACATTCATATTTTTCTGGTCCTCATTTCCCTGGTTCTCAGATTCCAGGGCCTCTTATCTATCGTGGAAGATAAGGTAGGTCAACAACTTGGGAAGATGAGGTGGGTCTGGAGGAGATTCCCCTGCCACCCGGAGCAGAAAGCCATTTCCACTCCCCTCCATCCCTAAGGTGCTTCTGGCTGGTGGTGAGAGGGTGGGAGATCCATTACTTCTTGTGGAGTGGATGGTGGGTCTGTTTGTCTAAGGCATGGTAGAGTACAGCTCCACCAGTTAAACTCTTACTACCAGTCCCTTTTTACATGAGTAATGAGTGAACACGGTCTCCTACAAAGTTAATATAATTCACTCAGAAGTGAGGATTCTTGAGTCATCATATTCTTGAGTCATAATATATGGAGGATTAGACCAGGACTCTAAAAATAGTAAGAGTATAGTTATACTCATCTAAGCAGTGTAATTAGCTGACCACAATAAAACACCACTAGTCAAAATTTCTAAAAATAAATCTTATCAACAAAAAATATAATAATTTTGTAAATAAATAACAATTAAAACTTTAATTATTTTTTCAGTCTTTGGAAGGTCACCCTCCTTCTCAACAAATTACTAAGAAATAAGCTTGAATTCAATCTTCCTTTTCACAAACAGGAAAGAAAAAGCAAGAGGAGAAATAACAAGCAGGAGCATTTTCATGTTCAATTTTCTTTTTGCATCCACAGAAACAAGAAATAAAGGCAAAACCACCACACAACACTAATATAGCCCTCCTAAACCTGAATACAATACACTGTTCTGTCTTTTAGCTATCAAAGGTTCAAATTTATACCTAATGGTCCATGCAAAAGGACTTTACTATTTTATTTCCTTAAATAGCAAGCCTTTATAAAAAAACCCTGTAAGGCCCATTGGCTTTTTCTTTTAAGGGGAAAAAAAAAAGTAAAAAACAGTAAAGTTTAGAGAGTTCCTCTGTTTCTGGCTAATGCAGAAACTCAATGACCTTTTTCAGAGTCTCTGATAACTCTGAATACTTATATTTTGTGGTAATAATTACATCAAATATATTCATATGACTTAGAAGTAAAAGTTTAGGAACCAGCTTTGCAAATTGGTCTATTCAATGAGTTAAATGAGAACTGAAATTAACCAGCTGACGCAAATTCAAATAAAAAAATATTTCTCAGGAAATGCACTACTATTATTTTGTGTTAGTACAGTATATACTCATCTTTTTCATTGCTCAAACTACAATTTTTTAAAATAACTGTGAGGAAAACAGAAGGCTAAATTACTTCTTTGCGTTTTTTAATTTAGAGGTTTTCTTAGTGTAAGCCACAGAAAATGTAGAACACTTAAATTGCCTCTTCTCCCTCATCCACCTTCCAGCAGTTGTCACATCCAGAGAAAATCTGCAGTAAAGGGTGCAGAGAGGGAGTGTTTGAGAGCAAAGAGTCTCCATCTTAGAGAAGAATGCATTATGCATTTGGAGTTTCATTTCAGCAAAAATATAGGGTATGACTACTAGATTTTCCTCATATTAATTTTTATCCGACTGGCCTCTGATATGTCACAGTCAAAAGACACTTACTTGGGCTTAAAATTAAACACACAACAAAAACTGAGTGCTGGTCACCTACAAACCAGAGCTCCTTCATAAGAATGTAATTCCAACCCAGACATAACATCCCCTCCACCTCATCCCCTGATATCCAAAGTGTTAACACCTTGCTAGAAACAGTGTAACAGATCTGTTGATTAACTTACTTTGAAATATCTTTGCCACCATGTTGCCATGGAAATATGACATTTCCAACAGCTGCCCGGTAACTGTAGACTCCCAGGAGCCCGAGTGCCATAGCAATTTTTGAAACCAGGGAGCATCTCCTTTGAACCAGAAAGAAGATCATAAGTAGGGAGACTGCAGCCAAGAAGGAGAGTTCAGGTTTATGTTCAGAGCTGGGAAAAAACAAACAAACAAACAAAAATCTTTTAAAACATAAATTAGAGCTAAACATATTAGCTACAGCATCATATTAATCAATTAATAAACCGTATTAATTAATGCAGCACCAAGTTAATCACTGCACTGATATTTGTTATGAAGTTGCTGAGAGGTATGGTAAAATATTTTAGTATTTCTAGAATAGCACTTTTATTAATAAGGTTTTCTATTCAAGTATGCATATTTAAAAGTGTAATTATTGTGTCCCACCATATGCTAGTTATTCTGTTAATTATACAAAAACTGAGCTGCATATTACATCATGGAAAAGGGTCTAATACTTTTAAACTGGGGTTTTGTTGTTTATACATTCTGAAACAGTGCATTTCACTTATACTACAGCATTTTATTTTCTAGCACAATGAAAAAGATTGTTGCCCTACAAGATTCTGTCTTTTGAAGTAACAACACATGTATTTCCTTTGTTTAATTAATTTTAGTCATAGAACACACTACCTACCTAGAATGACCACAAATATACTTACACAGTTTACAACACACATATACAAATTCATTAGCACAATGTGATTCCCTTATGCAACTACAGCACCTTGTACTATGTGAGAGAGAAATTTGCATCATTGACAGAGAATACTAGAGGCACAGCTTGTTTGTTCCTCTGCATCCTCGATAGAGGTAACAGTCATTCCAGAATAGAGGGCATTTAACTGAGCACGCTGCCAATGTTATGTATTTAAATCTTCAATAGTATGAATTAGCACTGCAAAATGTAATGGGGTAAACTGAAGATCTGCAGCCAACCCCTACCACAGCTACCTACACACTTTAAGAAAGCCCACTGTAGTACAAGAATTGCCAACCCACGCCTACTGCAAATATTCCCAGTATCCCAAATGATGTAAAACCACTAATTTTGTTAGATTTACCTTCTGTTAAGAACATCATGTAGAGTGTGAGAGCCAAGGGCTCCGTCTTCTGTCTTCCACATTCAAAATGCCAAGATAAAAGATCACTAACTTCAGAAAACTAAGAGTGAGCCTGGGCTATTATCTGCATTAAATCCCATCACACTTATGAAACTCCAGTTTTATCTCTGATCTAATAAAAATCACTGTACTTCAAAGATGTTTACTTTCCTGTTCCTAGTGTTTGATTTATTATGGGTTTGAACAATAGTTGTTTCAGCTATTGCACTTGGAAAGTCACGAAGGGAAGGTTGTGAGGCAGAAAAACTGTCCTGCTACTCCTCCGTGCAGGACCCAGTCAAGTACTTCATAGAACTTAACAAGACTCCCAAGAGATGCACTGCTCTCTGCAAGCCAGCGGAGAAAAGTGAGAGGAATAAGATCTAGAACACTATGGGAGAGAAAATGCAGTCTTGATGTTTCTTTTTCTATATAAGGAGTCAGCAGAAGCAGTGAATAGATTCCTGCAGCAACCCATGAAGATTGTGCAAGCACCATCTCATATGATCAACACATAATAAACTATTTTGGTAGCCACTGCACCTTTCAAAAGAACATTTTTGAAAATTTTAAGTTTTCAGGTCGTATTCTCCTTGGCTACTCATTGCATGAGAGCAAGACAAATCAGGAATAAATAACATCACATCATCATCACCTTTGTCTCTTTATCTAAAAAACTCACTGTACTTTTGTTAAGAGACTCTTGCAGACAAAGCTAACACAGCAATACAAAAAAATTTAAAAAGCCATTGCTGTCTGTAAGAAGTAACTGCTATTGCTATGTCAAGCCAGACACTAACAGCTGCAATTCGTACAGTGAACATCTGAAATCATACTCTAACACCTCCCCCTGAAAAAATGGGGGCACAGCAAAGTTATGTTCAAAGTAATGTGCACATCAGTCACATGACTTTGCATTCTTGACCGCTAGAGAAGGGGTTTATACACAAATCTGTCCAGGTTTTTGGGTAACAGTCCTCTGTGATTTCTTTTGGGAATTTTTTTGAACCATATAAATTTGCTCAAAAAAACCTACCCCAGTGTTTCACAGTGTTTGCTGAAGAAAAAAGAAAAAGATTTATAGCAAGTGAAGTCAGGTCAGCATAAATCACCTACAGTTTCAAGGCTTTCCAGCCAAGGTTCCTCCAGTTAGTCAGCTAAAAGCATATGTAATTAGCTTGTATCTTGAAAGGCGATGGTAGTTGCTCAACGCAGACACAGAGACTCCAGTCATTTAGCAAAGTTCTAAATGATTTTGATAGTCTACTCAGAAATACAAGCAAAACATGCTACTCTGATCTCAGCTGCAATGTAGTGGGTTTTGCCCAAACCACAAAATGAACCAACAGCTTCCTGAGAGAAAACCTGGCTATATCTTCTTACTGTAACATCTTGTGGTCTACACTCATACTTCTGGTATGCTAGCTTCGGGGAAAGGGAATTTGGGGACGGTTAAGTTATTAAGTTATTCAGATAATTAAAGGAAAATATTATCATCTTTCCATGCTGATGCTTCTCATCACTACTCTTGGAGCTGATTCTGCCATGTAGCAGCTCTGACACCTTTCAAGTATCAGTTCTGACCAAGATAACCAGCTAAATGAAGCTAACTGAATACCAGCTAATTAAAAAGAAAACCTGACTTCCAGTCAGATCTAGATTAAATGTTCTCTTCCATTTCATCTATTGATTTTCTTTTGCTCTTTTTCCCATCAAAGTATTTTTTCCTCTTTGTAGTAGATTTCACAGAGTCTGTCTGCAAATAACAAAAAACATTTTCCTTATTTCAGCACTGCTGAATGCATCTCTAGTAGCCAAATTCAAGACACTACAGGCACATTGATTTTCTGTGTTTTGGTACTTACATTTTTCTATGGACAAACCTGGACAACAGTGTGTCTGTCTCAAATGCTGAGGCCATTAAGCACTGTCCAGATAAGCAAAATATTAGTCTGAGCATGAGCACAGATGTCTAAAAGGTCAATACAGGGGAATAAAAAAAGAGGGCAGTTTGTTCATTAGTTTATTTTAGAGACAAAATAGAAGGCTGTCTAGAAAAAGCCTGAGCAGCTGTAACTCAAACTAACAAGGGTACAAACGATATAAGTAAGGTTCTAAATACTTATTAGTAAAAAGAGAGCTATTAAGACATAACTATGCAAATTAAACTCATGCTAAAAATAAAACAACAATCAACCTTACAGACTAGCAATGCATTTTGGGAAGAGGAATAAGTGCTTTATGCAACTCAGCTTATCACCAACTTTTAATTCATGCTGTTAAGGAAAACACATCACCTCAATCTTGATCAAAACACTAGGGAAACAGACATCTCTACCACCCTGTTCTCTTGTAAAGGAGAAGGAACAAAGACATTAAAACCTCTAAACAAAGAAAATCCAAACATGTTTGCCAAATAGGAATTCACTGACACTTTACAAACCCCAGGATGTGTAAAGATTTAGTGGCATCATTGACTGATCTTTCTGAAGCTTGTCCAGTGAAACACAACAGAACTCAAGAACTCAACTCGAGTCCAAAATCTGTATACTTCAAATGCTGCTAATCTTTTAACCCTTTAAAGCAAATGAAGTATACATCAGCATGGTGACATATTGTATTCTCCTATTAGATTAAAAGCTGCTCCATTGTTAAAGTCAGGATATAGCTCCACAGCAGCCCAAGCCAGCCTGTGCCAGGGCTCTCTTCTTTTCACCTGCTCCCTAAACATATCAATGAAGGGGGGAATGCAGAAGTGTGACAGTCCTAATCACATATACTCTTAGCCTGCCACAGCACTCTGGACTTTTGCATAGTGTTTTTAAGTCCCCCAGAATACAAGTTTGTGAATCATTGCTTCTTTCTCAATCACACTTGAAAGGCATGCACGTTCTTGTAAGGAATGCTTGACAATGGTAGAAAGAAAAGACTGTTTATGTCTGCAGCACTTCAAAAGATACAGATACTTCCACATTCTGTTTCTACAGTAATTTCAACAACAGCAGTGCTGATTTGTACACTTTTCCCTTCCTGCATTCCTGTTACTAGCCAGCCCATTTGCCTGTGAAACCTGATGGTAAATCAGAGCAGGATGTGATCCAACAGAAAGCCAAGTGTTTCCCATGCCATCTTGAGTTATTTTTCCAGTCATATCTATTCAATTATTTAGTTCACCATACTGACATGCAAACAGGTAAAATATAGGGCCAGTGAGGGGAAGAGTAAGAGAGCAAGTACCTTGCCTTGTATGGCAAGAGCTCCTCCAATACACTATTATAGCCAAACACTCAGTCGTAGCCTAAGACTGTAGCTGTAGAACCTTTTCTCTTCTACTTGCTTTGAGACCCAAACAAATACACCCAATGTGAGGCCATAATTTGATAGAGAACACAGGGAGTAATTCACCTGTAAAATTCTGAAGCTTTTTGGTTCTTTGATATCTAGCTGCTGTACTTCAGCCTAACTGAAGGGGGAGGCAGACAGCTTTAATAACACGGCTGTTACAGCTTTATGAAGGAGAATACTTAATCAACCTCACAGACTTTTGTGATGAGATGACAAGCTCAGTGGAAGAGAGTAAAGCAGGCATTGTTGTTTATCCGTGCTTTATCAAGGCTTTTAACACCAGCTCCCATAACATCCCCACTGGCAATCTGATGTGGTCCAGGCCAGGAAAAGTAGACAGTCAGGTGGACTGAAAACTACTCAAATGCTGGATTCACAGGGTTCCCATCAGCAGCACAAAGTCCACCTGAAGGCCAGTCGCTAGCTGTCAACCCCAGGACTTCACACTGGGGCCTATCCTGTTAAATGTCTACATTAATGACCTGACCGATGGGGCAGTGTCCCTTCAGGAAGTCTGCACACAACACAGAACTGGGAGCAGTGGTGGGTCTGCTGACATTCAAAGGCCCCTCGACAGACTGAAGAAATGGCCCCCCAGGGATTTCAAGAAGTTCAACAAGGGCAAGAGGCAAGTCCTGCACCTTGGAACAAATAGCTACACACATCAGGACAGGCTGGAGGCTGACCCTCTTTTCAGAGATGGCTCTGAGCACACTGATGAACTCTTGACTTGATAATCAGCATGCAATGTGCCCTTGCAGCAAAGACAGCCAACAGTATTTGGAGCTGCACCATGAAAAACATTACTAGAAGACTGAGGAAGGCTGTTTCTTCCCTGGTGTTCAACCCTGGGCCCAGTTATGAGTTACTCAGAACAGAGAGAGATATGGACATATTCAAATTCACACAAATTCCAATTTATAGGGACAAAAATGAAACACAAAAATAGCCTCCTCCCTCCCTTCTCCCCACTCCTTCCTCAAAAAGAACAACAACAGAACCCCAGAGGAAGCCAGAACAGGTGTAAAAAGCCTTGGGTTTAGCTGAGTTGGTTGCTTGGAAGCTCCTGACAGATAGTAGGTGTTAGAGCTAGGTGTACAGGATTTCCAAGGATTCCCCAGCTTTTGTTATAAATCAGGAAGCCCTAGAAGCATCTGCTTTATCTGCAGACTATGCTCTACCTGTGCTATCTCCCTGAGATCCTACAGCCCAAGGCTGGAATACATTTTGTTGCTCTACAGGCATACCAAGCACCATGAAATCAGAGGTAGGAGCACATTACACTGAAGCAGGATGTTTGGAAATGAAGTCCAAACATGCATACAGAATTCTTAAAAGGCTGATAACATTTGCAAGAGTTCCTGGTGGACCACATGAGTAAAAGCATATATCTGAAACAAACACAATTTTTCAGCTGCAAAAGTATCAGGTCCTTGTTTCATGCCTTTGTGGCACAAGCACATTCCAAAGAAAAGGCCTGACAGTCTGAAGAAAACATCTGGCTCAGGATGTTTTTGGGCAGAAGCTCAGGATTAACTGTAAAAATCCTCATGCTCGCACCAAATCACGCCTCATCCTGCTCACACATTGGCTTAGCTCATAATGAAGGAGTTATCTATCACGTGGAGTTGATGTTGAAAATATGACATTCTTTCCTCAATCCCTCACCTCATCTCAAGAGCACAAATGCATGGTGAAAGCCCTGGAATAGAACAACCGCTGTAATGTGACAAATTCCCTACTAACTCATGTCTTTCAGCACTCGTGCCTGTCACAGCAATGAGCGTTTCATCTGTGAAGTTGCCAATAAATAACAAGTCTCATATTACTCCATTTGCTCATGTCATTTTTAATGAATGATGAATGACATTTCATCCCTGTGTTGTAAGATACTGGCAAGAAATCTATTCATCTTACACAGCATAGCCTCTTCATCTGCTGCCTGCAAAACCTTGACTAGGCAGTCACAAGGTATCACTTCTCCATCCACCAACTGAAGTACAGAAGACAGGTCAAATATCACACACTTTTTATCACTGAATAATGACTGTAGTTCTGCAAAATACTAAGAGGTAATAGAAAAAGGAGAACCTATTCTCTGGTGTACTTCAAGTTATAAAAAATTCCTCTTCTTATCATATTACACTCAAAAAACTCCTTCAGTTTTCCACCCATACGTTAAAAGCCTGTGATAGACAAGGAAAAATTCTATGTGAGGCATCTTCTCCTATGACTTCATAACATTCGGAATTATGCAGAACCTTCCTGTCTTAATTTCAAGGGTTTAATTCTATTAAGCGATTTTTAATTTCTCAAACCAGACACTCCTGACTTACATATGGAAAATATTTACTTTTTGCTTCTGATAAACCTATCGTGTATAATTGGCATTAATTAGATAAGTCATGGCGCAGGGCAAAGATTATAAACTACTGATAGCACACAGGGAATCACTCCTGCATGAAATAGCAGTGAAAAACTCCTTATGTTACCTCCCTATTTATCTGCTTTGCATGTTTGCAGCAATTTCTAATCACAGACGGCATAGAAATACCTATGTACTTCACCAAATGAAGCATACATTAATTTCTAAATAAGGCAGAAAGTGTGACTGTAAATCAGATACCCACCTTGTCAACCAATGTCCAAAGTCTGGCCGATGAGCCCACTGGACACCTGTCTGATTCAAGGATCGAAGCAGCCGACAGCAAATAAGGATGACCCATGGAGTTGCTAAGCTTATCCACTTATGTGATCCTTTCATGAATTCAGATGAAGACGTCGCCTTGTCCAATTTTGAACTACCTGCTGCTGGAATGTCTATATTCTTGCATTCAGAGGTTTCCCCGAGACTATCAAAATTTTGCTTTACATTGGTGCTATGTTGAGGGTCACATTCTTTTAGAAGAAAATTATTTCTACAAAGCTCCTGACACAGCACCAAACAAAGCGTATTGACAAGAAAATACCAAGTTTGATGTTCCTCTTCTATGAAACTGCTTGCCCCCAAACTCAAAACATGGCCAATCGTTCCAGCCAGAATCAGCACATCTATTTCTGACCAACTAGAACTGGACACAGCTGGATTCTGAAAACAAAAAAACAAAACACAGGAGTGGTGAAAGGGTGTAAAAATTTCTCTTGTGTAAGTATTCACAGTGTGCTTACAGCAATTTCCTCTAAGAAAACAAAATAAATCACAAGACAAGTTATTTCTATCTTAACAAATCTCAAAAACTTACACAAGAATCATTTCAATGTACCATGTTTAGTTAGCATTACAACATAGTAATTATTTTTATAATTGCGTTCTGTTTAAGGGCTCAAACTTCCTATGAACAATCATCATAACTGTGCAGATTCCCTACCATCCTGTGACAGAAGGTTCTAAACAACTTCAGTCTCTGTTGCACATTTGTAGAAGTAAAAACAGAAATCCTGCAGAAATCAAACTTGAGATATATATAATAGGTAATTTTCTAATAGTTTAAACCCGTGATATCCTCAATACAGTGACAGCCTTCACTACTCAAATGAACAAAAGTTACTGCCTGATGGCACCCTTAACCTTGCTTCGCTTAAAATGTGTCTCTCATCACAAAATCTACTTTAAACCTTACCCATCTATTATTTACTTCACACACTGTGCCTATCTAAAACCACAATATTTTTTGTCTAATGCCTCCATTAGTTTGATTTCTTGTTCTCAGCAGATAATTGGAATTGCCTCATCATCACTGCCCTCGATGACAGGGCTAAAAAGAGAGCTAAGGGCATGTGGAAGTTGAGAGCACTCAGCTCATTGATGTTATCATGTAAAGAACCATTCAGCACACAGGGAAAGCCATAAAAAGACCACACAGAAACACAAACATGATAAATAAGCACTAAGGGAGAGCATAAAGATGACCAGAGCTCTTCAGCCATTAACTGACTGGCCATTAGGAAATCACAGGCATAGCTCTGAAGAGTGTCAGTCTGGACTTTATAACAGATAAGACGTGAGTGACAGACCACAGGTATTATGGATATCTGATATCTGACCAACTCCTTAAGCAATGCTTCAGGAAGGTGTCAAAAGTGGGGAAGAGGGGGTGACAGGGAATAGGATGGAAGCAGGGAGCACAGTGAGAGGAGAAAGGGTAAAGGAGGCAGTTACATAAAGCAAGAGCCAGTCAGTGCACTTTTCTGACTGAGCCCCCTAACATACCTTAACAAATAGGGTTATATACTCGTGAAGTATTTTGAGAAAAACACAGTCAAAATCATCCATTACCATTTTATTTTCTCAATTTTTGCTCTATTAGAGAATATTACAAACTATTTCTTAAAACGGCATTTTAAGCACCTGATAACAATTTAAAAGCCTAATTGAAACTACTGTATGCCATTTTTACTTCAGAACAAAGATCTCTGAACCTACTGGCACATTCATTTCTTTAACTGCATATTTCAACCACATCATCCTCCCACATTTGACCTATGAACAAACTTTAAAAAAACATGGTGAATATTCACAGTGATAAAATTCACAGAGAAAATACTCACATTGAAAAATGCAGTGCACTACAATTCCTAAACTGTTTCAATCAAATGTTAGAAGAATATCAAAACTCACTAATCTTGGAGCAGGTAACAAGAAAGCAGGTGTAAACAATACAAGTATCTCTTAGCATCTTAGATGCAAGTCTCTCTTGTGTTTATGACTTACTGACAGCAGCATATGTACTTTTGTTTAATAAGCAGGACCATGTAACATGGAGAAGACAACAAATACACTCGATGCAAGAACCTAGTTAACCCTCTCTGGAACTTTGGTTTGGGGAAAACAACTTTTGCAAGATCAAAATTTTAAGAGACGTATGTGAAAGAATGCAGGAGGTATAGTTACAGTTATCAGCTACTCACAGCCCTTTCATTTCCTCTGTTGTTAAAGAATACATTACACCAAAGTCATTTCACTTTACAAAAGAAAAAAAAAACACCCACAACCAAAAAAGTCTCCATGAGGTTACACACAACAATAATGGGGGAAAAATACTAATAAACTGAAAAAAATGCCCAGGGCCAATCTAAATTTACTAGTATTTGAAATTTCCTTGGTGCTCAAAAGACCACTTTGGTTTGTTTAGTACTCTATTCTGAAAAGCAAATACCATAAGCTGGTATTTGGAATAAAAGGACAAGGTAGTCTGTGCAAAGACCAAAGAGCATGAAATTCACAAAGCTGAGACAAGAATAGTACATGACTGAACTACAGAAAGTTTAAATTCCAATAATTCCATCATGCTGACCTTAAAGATCTTGGCTAACTAAATAATGAGCACGTAAGTATTATCTGCTTGAAGAGACAAAGGAATCTGAGACCCTCAATAAATGACAATGAACAAGTCTTTGAAATAATTCATCTTCTTTATAAGACATAACAGAAAATCTATGGAACAATTGGTCTCTTGTATGTGGTTGCTGCCAGCAACTGATATGAAAACTGAAGAACTGATGCTTTATCAATGAGGAATACACAAAACTCTCATGAGAATGATGGCATTAGTATGAAATGTTCCAGAGTCAAAATCTGTATTTCTTGCCTGCTTGTCTCTCACAACTCCAGTGAAAAGAGAAAAAAACTACTCTTACATTCACATCAAAGGATTAAAATCCAATGATATTTATTGATAAACCACATTTCAGATCAGAGTTAAGTCACTATGCAAAATCAAAAATCATGTTGCAAATTATAATCTCCTGTGCCTTGATAATCTAAGAAATTCTGAAAATATCTCCACTGAGGTTTTCTAAATTTACTGGCAATCCCCTATATATGAACTGTGCTTTATTAGGTATGTCATGAGTCCAGTGTCATACACAGTCTGACCTTAGATTATTTACATTGTACTTAGTTCTTAGATGTGGTTTAAAGGCATAGAAATGTAGGTCTTACTCTGCTATTCACAGCTCTGTCTTTCCAGCTGCTGAACACGTCCAATTCTCAGGAACTCAGCAGTCACTCCAGGCACTAGAACACTTGTACAATTCTCACTGCTATCTTGGCAAACAAACTTAATACAGACTCTTTTGTTCAGAAATTTATAAGTCCCAGGCTTCAAATCTAAGCATATCATCTCCCAAGCCAAGGTAGCTTTAACAATTGATGTACCAGCATTAGTAATTAATACAGAAACTGACCCCTTGCCCCATCTTTGAACACATCTTGCTAGCTTGCAGAAATGCCAGTACATAAATGATAAAGTATGTGAACCTCTGACCAGTAAATTTTGAAACTTTTTCAAAAACTTTGAAATAAAACCTCCTGTAGTCTATCTTCTGTGTCCAATTCCAGTTATCTGGCTTCTGTGATGTTAACCATCCACAGTTAATGCCTGCGGAATTTTGCAATCACTTTTCAGATATGAAACATTTTACTTTTCATGTCCAGCATCACTGCCAATTTAAACACTTAGCAGTTTGCTCCCTTCTGATACTTGAGCTCCCTGAATCCAGTCTTGATTCCCTATGATGGTAACTTTCCCAAGGCAAAGTACTACAGATGACACTTGCCGCTACATTTTTATAGCAGTTTGGGATCATTTTTGTAAGCTATCAGGTAAAGACATCACCCAATCACCTTTTTAATTCCTCAAGTCAAAAAATGCTAAAAAATTTTAGATGTAACTCCATAAAAATGTATCACTGTTCAATTAACCAAGAATATCACACAGGGGAGGAAACCCAAAAATACTGTAAGGTGAACAGGGTACTTCAAAATAAACTGAAAGAGGAACAATTTGTTTATGCAGTAAAAAAACACTATAATTCTGCATAATGAAAATTCTCAAAAACTGTATTTGACAAGCTTTAACTTTTGTGTTCTAGTTTAAAAAAAGCTTAGTTTTTATTTCTATCAGAAATAGGGAGAAAAAAACCACAACTAGTAGTAGTAAATACCATACTTATGTCAACTACCAAGCAATTACAGTGAGGCTATGAACAAAAAGTTAAAATTTTTGATGATTTTCTGGAATTCATAAAGGGCTGCAGAACTATTTAAAGCCTTAAGTATCATTAAAAGAAGGGACTGGTGCTGCTAGAAACATAGCAATCAGAATCTATAAATAACAGTCAGGAAGCAGATGTTAACACTGCCTGCACTGGTCTTCAGAAAATTCATGAACTTGGTAATCAGTTTCTATATTCAGCCACAGTGGGAAAAAAAGCATTACAAATGAGAAGCACTTCAGAGAAATCTTTAGATGTGAACGGAAACAATTTGAAGGAAAAAAGCTCTGAAGCCATTAACAGGAGAGCTTATCTTAATTACTTCTAAAATACCTACATTTTATCGTACAGCTTGAGCTTGGAAAAGGCTTTTTAGCTTTTTTTAACTGGCAAGACCGTAATTCAGGATTCTGCTCCTACCATCAGAAGATCAGGGCTTCAGAGCTCTTTCAGAAGTGGGCCCCGTCCACAGATTCGCACTGTGGAGATGCGCAGGTCACACACACTTGGATTTAGAGTTACTTTAGCATAAATGGTACTCCTAACTCACGCAGAAGGCCCTTCAGGATCAACAAACAGCATACAAACACAACCAATTTCTCCCCCAGAGTCTAGGTATTCTTTTATAAAGGGGGATGAAGGATGGAGGTGAATGTTTGGGACACATCCACACTGCAAGCAGTACCAGACCATACGCTGCTCCTTTCACCTTCTCCAGGATCTATATTTGTATAAGCAGTGACCCTAAAAAATCCCACAGTATCATGCTATAGTAGTCCTCAAACTGGTAAAAATGTTAATCAAAACCAGGTCACTGCTTTTATCCATGACTGGAATGAAGCCTACCTGACTTTGACGAGATGAGGTACGCATCCAGCAATCCAGTCACCTATGGAATAGGACTGAACACAGGAGGACAAAAGGGTATCTCTACAGGTCTGAATACAAAGTCTGCCCCAATCAGAATTACTATGACCTGCACCTCATAAGACATACTCAAGCTTCCCACATTTTCAGATATATCTCAAGTAGGAATATGATCACAGGCAGACCTGGGATGGAGAATCGAGTATTTTTTATTTCTATCTGCCCCAGCCTTGAGAAAACAAACACACGCACAAACCTGGAAAGCATTGCTGAAAACCTCCTCATTTGTGTGTTATCAACTTGAAGCAGCTGATCTGCTTCAAGTGAGCGTGGTGAGGCACTGGAACAGGTTGCCCAGAGAAGCTGTGGATGCCCCATCCCTGCAAGTGTTCAGTGCCAGGCTGGAGGGGCTCTGAGCAACCTGGTCCAGTGAAAGATATCCCTGATCAGAGAAAAGGTTTGGAACTGGACGATCTTTCAGGTCCCTTCCAACCCAGACCATTTCATGATTTTCTGATTCTTTGAGACTATCCACCTGGAGAAGAAACCTATCACCTGTTATCATTGGTCTCAATGCTACTGAAGTGGAATGTCTGTAAATTTTATGCAGGTCTAGAAAGTCACCATATTTAGATTCCTACTGTCCATTAAAATTAAAAAAAATGGTAACAAGATGGAAAACAGCAAGTAAACATGAGGTTTCTACAGAATACACTGAAGCATGAATTATTCCAAGGCCATATTATTTTTCTTTTTCTAAGAATAATTTCTACCTCAATCACAGTAAAATACAGAAAGCTAATAAGAACCCTAAGCAGAACAAATCAGAAATGGCAAAAGTGAACTGAGTCCATTTAAAAAACAGCACACCCCTATGTACCAACTGTGTTAACAAACTGTAAAACTAGACATCTCATTCAGAAGATTTCTCCATTCATGTTGATGAATTTTACCCTCACCTTTCATTTGACTCTAAAAAAAGACCCACACATACATCACTAGCTTTGGCAGCAAAACATTACTACTACTTTGACACAAAACCTTCAGTGCCAAAACCAAACTGTGATTTACACTTACAAAGACTATTTTGTTAGCAGCTATACTCGAGAGGAAACTTCTTTCTCTGATTTGATAAAGCAGATATTTGTAGCTGACCTGTTAATCTATTTCAGTCTCCCTAAACAATCGGACACATCTAAGTCTCATGTGAACGACGAATATAAAAGTAAGAATGATACAAGTTCTATCAACATCTCCTTTTTTCATCACTTTCAATAGACTGAAGTGAATTGCACTGAAGAAAACAGGGTACTGGCAAAGTATTTTCTTCTCAGAACATTAATGTCTGTTGTATTTGGGAAAGGACAGATCATCACTGGGGCATGTTGTTGCAAAGTATCATACATCTTGCTTTAATTGCAAATGTGAAACATCACTGTGTAGCAACATGGAATTTGTACACAGTATAACTGTTTCCGATCTCATGAAGTCAACTGCAAAGTATTTTACAATATTAGAACTTAAGTAATGTCAAAATAAGCACTTCTGTGATCTTTATCATACAATCAGTATCATGCCATGGTGAAAACACCACATTTCAATTACAACTCTAAATTATTCAAATTACATTACAAAATAAACATTTCTTTAGGCACACAGAGAGAAAACTTAAGAAAATTTTAACTGAAAGCACACCATGAAAAGCAAAACATTTTGAACCATAATTAATGCACGCTCTCACCTTCAGTGGAAGTCGGGAATTCTCAAAGATCTTTGCAATAGCAGATAAAATACCGCACATGAGTGCAGAAATCAGCATCATCACTCCAACTGCTGTTAGCCAGGACATACTGCAGAAATAGCACAAACTTTCTGCCGACGTGCATACAATGACATGAACTGCACACAGCATGAGACACATCAAATAAAACAGCAGAGAGAATAGTGGAGGGGAGAGGGGCACTTCAAATTCTGCCCGCTTGCTCAGGGCTTTTGGAACACTGAGCAAAAGCAGCAGCAGAACCTAGAAAAAAAAGATAGGAATTAATACTTTAAAAATTGGGGTTAGCTAAAACATACAGAGAGAATTCACACAAAAAAATCATGCTGTAGTCATTCATGTCACTCTGTTAGTACACGTGCTTCATCAAAAAAAACCCTGTGAAGAACTATGTAGGGGTTTTTCCCCCAGTAAGATAATACCATATAAATGGGAGAATCCAAGATGGTGGTTTCATTTATTAAGGGCTTGGACACACAAGTTCCCAAGTTTAATAAATCACCATTTGCCTCCTCACCTGTGGTAACTGATAAGATGTATGATCTTTATTCCCTGTAAAATAAGAGCTCCCAACATCAAAATAGTTCCTAAGCAAACAAATTTGACCCGTTATTTGTCACCTGTAAATGCCTGAAGTTACATGCACCCTATCAAAGACAATTCACCTCCTATATGAGAGATACACATATATGAGATCCTGCCGAGTTAAATAGCTTCTCAAACCAGGGAAAGTTCTCATACTATCACACAAGTGTATGCTGAATTTCAAGCTTATGAATTTTCCCAGTATTTATTTTTCGTACCTCTCCTCATCTTGATTTATTGGTTTTACTTTAACTTTGCTCTAACCTGCACACAGATCAGGCAGAATTCCAAGTTTTCTCTCAGGTAACTGCAGCAGTGGAGATGAATAATACAATGAAAATTTCTGCTACTGTGCAAACCTTTACAAAAAATAAGAAATTTCAGCCACATGCTAAAATGCTTTGCAAGCTGAACAGATGGAGCTTGGACTACACTGACCTCAATCAGCCTCTGCTAGGGCAAGATTAAAACAAATCAAGATAAAAACAGACCACTGCCAACCTGTAATCTTTCACTGTCACTTGTGAAGACCTCTGCCTAAATTTTTCCCACATTACAGTGAGATACAGTAAAGTAGCCCAAAAAATATTGAATGCATTGCACTCATCTGCTGCTTCATCATATTCTACTCCACATTTCATTTGGTTATGAAAATATACAGCTTCAGAGTATCAAACTGGCTTAGGTCTTACATTTCAACACAACCCTTAAAACTAAAACAAAGACAGCACTCACGGTGGAAGGCACTAGTTATCTACAAAACTAAATTTAGGTCTTTTGAGCAAGTGCAGTATTATCAGTCCATGTCCCAGAGGTATCCTCCTCATCCGATAAATGGCATTTCTAGCACGGTGTAGTCTGAAGTGACATGTGAGTTTCACTACTGTTATTTGTTCAGCAAAGGTGGAAAATACATATCACGACAAAAAGATTTTGGAAAGCAAGGCAGTTTCTTGAGTATTACGCTGGAGAAAATAAAAAACTCCAGCCTCTTTGCACCAATTCTTACAGTGATGCTGAGCACACACTGCTCAATGAAAATTTGAACATTTCCATGGTTAGTAAGCTCCATGTGTCTTTGACGAAGGCCCAGTGAGTATAACACCTAAGATTTGTTTTCTAGAAACAGTAAGCATCTACAAGCATTTCAGAAGATAAAAAATAATCCAGTGGTTCAGCTGTCCACAGCTTGAATCCATAGGTTTCCAAAACAAAGGAACAAAAAAGAAATATAAACACTTCAGCTTTGCACTGAGCTTTGCCCACCTCCAGATCCTCCATCCGTAGAGAAGGAACAGAACTTGCCATCTCATCTACCCAAGGGCACAGTGGAACTCATTCCTGTGAGGGGATCAGCAGAGGGACAAACCCCACCAAGCAGTCTAACCACAAAGCCATTTCAGAAGCACTCTGTATGCAGGGAGCAGTGCATAGGAGACAAGGCACAGAGCCCTGCCAGGACAGAGGAGACTCAAATATTAATGAGCTGCTCACATATTGTTATCTATTCCAGGCACTGAACAGTAACAGAGTCTTGTACAGCACCACATTCAAGGACTAAGCTAAGCTTGTAGTAGGTACCTCCATTCTACGGAAAAATGCTTTTAGTTACAAAAGTTGACAACCTTGTAATCTAAAAGGTGAGTGCAAACTTTGGTAAAAAGAAGTTCAGTGTCCAGGCATGCTATTCCTTCAGCATGGTTCTCAAAGCATTACACTATTTCTAGGCTTTTGATTTTGATTTTGATGCTATTTCCAGCATTTGAGTTTTGCCCAAGAGATCAGTTGAAGAAATCCACTTAAAATTCCAGACATGGCATATCTTATCTTTATTCCTAGAGGAGATACAACGTGGCAACCCAGCACCTCACAGCAAGTATTTATTTCAGGGCCCTAAACCCATCAGCATGAAGAACAACTGGAATTGTGAAAATCGCCCATATAAGGTATTGCCTGTTTTGAGCAGCTACTCTCAACGCTAGATAAACAGGAATGGGTAGGAATCTACTTGCCAGACTTTTTTTTTTTTCAATGCAGTAAAGCTACTCAAAAATAGAAGGCTAACTAGCATGGGAGTAATTTAAGTTGTAGCACTCTGTATATTTACTGTAACTAGCTACACCGAAACATTAGTAGTTCATATCAAAAGCACTCTTGAATCATTATAAAGGCCAGATTATTAAAAAGAGTATTAACCTCATCCAAGCAGAATGTCAGCTAACTCTAAGAATTCACACTCGGTAATTTTTAAGACCAGTAAGTGTATACATTAAATAGTCAAAACCAAGATACTTTTACTTTTGTACACTTAACCTTTTCAGTGAAAGATCTATTTTCATACCTCCATAATGATCACAGTCCCCACCATCATCGAATACATGTCATATTGTGCCACTTGTTTGCTTAGTGAAGAACTCAGAGTCTTGAGGGCCTCCAAGTATTGCTTCAGGACCTTTTTGCCAAGATTTAAGAGTACTTCTGAATTATTCCCCTCTAAATACAATTTGATCCAATTACCATGGGATTTTTCTGCTATCTTAAAATGTTCATATCCAGGATCTGGGGGGTGGGAGAAAAAAAAAGAAGCAAAAGGATCCATGAACAAAGGATGATTAAGTAGCATTGTGATCATATTTTTATATTTGCTTGTATAGTATATAAAAATATATAATTCCTATGGGGGTTGGAGCTTTTTTTCAGACCTACAAAATCACACTATCTTCCTGTAGCAATACCATGATGAGCCAGTTACTCAGAATAAAAGCAATTAATCCCTAACCTAATGAAATGTCAAGACCTCTAGCAGTTGAAAAACTTATTAAATATCCATTCACTTTTGCAAAAAGTTTCCAGGACAAACAATTCAAATGCTTCAGATGTTTAAAAAAAAATAAAATATCAATGTTTTCCACTGGAACCACTCACTATCCTGGGCATATTGTACAAGCTGAATGAGAAATGATCAACTAGCCGATCTCTGGAAGAAACACCAAAGGAGACACACACACTGCATTAGCTGGTAGTGCAGGCTGGATGAGTGGATGGTGAGGTGGATTGAGAAATGACAGAATGGCAGAGGTCAGAGGATTGTAATCAGCAGCACAAAGTCTAGTTGGAGGCCTGTCACTAGTGGTGTCACCCAAGGGTCGATATTGGATCCAGCGTAGTTTGACTTGTTCACCAATGACTTCGGGAAGGGGCTGATGCCTCCTCAGCAAGTTTGCTGACAAAAAAGCTGGAAGGAGTGGCTGATACCCCAGAGGGCTCTGCAGCACTTAGAAGGACCTCAACAGGTTGATGAGACAGGTAGAGAAGAACCATCTGAAATTCACCAAAGGCAAGTGCAGGGTCCTGCACCTGGGGAGGAATTACCCCAGGTTAATAATAACCCCCCACAGTCTGGGGGCCAACCTGCTGGAAAGCTGCTCTGCGAAGGACCTGGGGGTCCTGGTGGACAACAAGCTGTCCATGAGCCAGCAGTGTGCCTGTGTGGCCAAGAAGGTCAATGGGATCCTGGGGTGCAGCAGGAAGAGCATGGCCAGCAGGTTGAGGGAGGTGATTCTGCCCCTCTACTCAGCCCTGCTGAGGCACATCTGGACTGCTGTGTCCAGTTCTGGACTGCTCAGCACATAACACACAAGAAGCTCCTGGAGCAGGTCCAGCATAAGGCTACAAAGATGACTAAGGGACTGGAGCATTTCTCATGTGAGGAAAGGTTGAGGGAGGTGGGCCTGTTCAGCCTCAAGAAGAAACAAATGAGAGGAGATCTTATCAGTGCATACAAATATCTGAAGGTAGGGTGTGAAGAGGATGGAGCCTGATGCTTCTCAGTGGTGCCAAGCAATAGGACAAAAGGCAACAGGCAGAAAGTAGAACACAGGAAGTTCTACCTAAACATGAGGAAGAACTTCTTTACTGTGCAGGCGACTGAGCACTGGAATAGGTTGCACAGAGAAGTTGCAGAGCCCTTCTCTGGAGATATGCAAAAGTCGTCTGGACACATTCCTGAGTAGTTCTGTAGGGGACCCTGCTTGAGCAGGGAGGTTGGACTAGATGATCTGTAGTGTTCCATTCCTACCTTACCCAATCTGTGATTCTGTTTTTAAAATATTGATCACTGAGTATAGTATGTATTCACAATATAAATTCAGTTGACAACACATGGAAAGCAAGAGTGTAACATTCAAAAACTTGCATCTCACTGAACACTATGCTGTGCATGGATATTCACATTTATCTGTATTTCTTGCAAAAAATAAATGTTTAGTTCCACTTCAGATTAATAGTCCTTGCTATTTCCTTGCTATAACTGAAAATTAATGATAACCTAAGTGTAAAAGGGTCAATTTGGAAATTTTTATATAACTTGCAATTCTTCCCTTCTTAGCTAAAGGTAGGGTAATATATTTGCTGTACAGTTTCAGACAGTAAAGGTTAAAGCAATAACTGAAATAACTTTGGTGTCAGAAAGTCTTAAGTTACAGTTCATTTTTACTCCTGGTAGATGAACAGTATATCAGATGTGGAAAAAAAACACTATATTTTTTGTTAAGCCTTTTCAGCAAAAATACATTATTAAATCCAGAATCATTTTTAATTTTATTTCAAGTGAATGAAAATGAATGAAATATGTCTATTCACAATTCTTGCACAGTTATGAAAGAATTGTGCCTACCACTTGTAAGTCTCTTATCACACAAGACACTTTGTGATCTACTGAATTCAAAGTGAGAATTTTAGAAACCAATATTTAACTCACAGTGTCCAGTCTGTTCTACCAGGACTTCTAGCAGACTCCAAACCATGCTGATCCTACAATGCAGGAGGCTTTCAGGCATCTGCTAGAAAGTACAATTCAGCCAGCAGCAAACACTGGCATATCAGGAGAGCTGCCAGGACACATGGATGATTTTATTTCCCTCCTGTAGTTCTTTGAAAAATGAATTCCCTGCAAAGTTTCTCTGACGGTATGCTTGAAATAAGAGTTAAATATTCATACTTTTGAGAACATCCACAAAGGATCATCTAAAATGAGCTTTAATCAAACTGAGATTTGACATGACGCTATTTCATTATACAGAACACTGAAACGAGTTCAAGCTATATTTTGATACATAAATAAATTCCCTCCACATCTTCTGCTCCTGTTCTGCTCACTTTTCATGCTTCTTGCCCAGTCTCCCTCTTCATTTCTTTTAGCATTTTTATTTCGTTCTCATCTACCTCCTTCCATGTTACTGCCCACCAAACTCATTCCACCCATGTTATGTAAGATGACTGTTTAGTCAAACACACATATGAGTGAATGATTTAAAGATCTTGCAGACAGGAATAAAGGACCACAGTTACCAAATTTCCCTTCCAAGTCCTATGATACCTGTTCCATGGCACATTTGTACGCAGGAAGTATAAAGTAAGAAGGGTCACAGGCACTAAGTTGTTGGTAACTGGCAGGTAACACTGGCAAGTCACTCCTGCATGGGATACTCGTAAGACAAGTTAAACTTGAGGAAAAATCCCAAGTGAGTCTGCCCAGTTACACATTTCCCAAAGCACTAGCAATGGTTTACTTTCACAGAATTACATTGGCAATTTGTGCTTGAGCCTCACTACCATCTCATCACAAGCAGATGGCTATGCTTCACAAGCATCTGTTTGACAAAAATTGCACTTAGTTACAGTCACAGGCAGCAATCACTTAGAAAGAGTTCTAAAAGTAGACTGAATAATGTAAAGGTGACTTCTCCAGTTTCAATATATAACTGTTCCAGTAACAGAAAAATTATTTCAATCAACACATGCATCTAAAAAGTTCAGGATCAGTCCCAAATTGAAAAACGGGCACTCATTTTAATAACAACATCCAACTTGTTCTCAGGTGTGACTCTTCAGTCCACTGTGAAGTGCCTTTCAAAAAAAGTCCTAGTTTATCCCTCACATGCATGTTGAGAAGTTCTGCTAGATACCTAGAGCTGCCTATCTCACACTGAGGTACGAACTTGCTCAAAAACCCAGTGTGTTTTCAGATACTTCTTTCAGCTTCCTCATTTTGGCCAGCTGTTTTTATTCTCCTTTTTCAGACTTCTTACTTACTTGCATGTGCCCATCTCTATTAAAAGAAAAACTAAGGCCTGACATTAGCATTTATTAGTATGTTTCAAAAAGTTATTTTTAAAATAATAAAGCTCTTAGTCAAGCTTCAAGTTTCTCATGTAAAATTTAACTTACTTGAAGACAGAAAGGATCAAAATTTGAGTCCCATGAAATGCTGTACTATCTCTTGGCTAGAGAAAGCATGTTTGTATAACAAACACTAGGGGGAAAAAAAAAGTTACTGACCTGTCTTCATTCTGCTCTTTATTAATAGATATATTTAAAACACACTTGAAGATGAAGATATTTTTGTGTACTGTTCCAGTTTACTCTTAACTTTGGAGCAGTTGAATCCAGGGAACTCCATGGCTGCTTCATGAAACAGCTTATAAAGGTCATTCTGCCTTCCCATCTGACTGTGATTCAACTCAATTGACATCTGACTTCATCTTACTGCATTAAAAAGGAAATTCATATTGCACCAAAAATGAATATATATGTTATGCTATAACTTACAATGGATGAAACTTTTCTTACTATGACTGATTCAGTCATCATCCTCATGGTCCTAATAGCTGGTGCCATAACCTCTATGCTGTAAATTAAAATACTCTCCACAGGAATCCCATGTTTTCCCCTTCAGAAGAGCCTATTGGTTTCGACCTCAAGAGTTGAAAATAATAATAATTTTTTTAAAAATACCATGGCTTAGGTTATCCCTGCAAATATCTTTCACTTTAAACTCCAAACACAGACACTTCTCTGAGCATTCAACCGAAATGTTACGATCCACCAGTTGTTCCTAGCTGAGAATCTGCAGAGGAAAGCTTGAAACTGCAGCAGCAAATGCAAGTGAGATGTCTAACTGACTTATCTTCTGGGATTTCTTTCCCTCAAAAAACTGGCAGCAGACCTTGCCTGTGGCATTGAGAAATTATATGGCTCAAGACCTGTCAGCACAATTCTGATGAGTGTCCAGATGTTCTACAAATAAAAATCAAAGGCTTTGAGCAGGATGAGCTAAAGCAGATTGCTCAGATCTGTGTCCAGTCAGGTCTTGCATGTTTTCAGGTATGAAGCCTCCACAACCTCTCTGGGCAACTCATTCCAGTGCTTGACAAACCTTACATAAAAAAAGTTCCTTTAATTCAAGCAAATTATTTTTGTGGGGACCACCAATTAGACCCTGGTTCAATATTCTTTATTCCCTCCCATCACATATTACTTACATTGATAAGAACCCTGTTGAGTCTTCGCCTATCTAAGCTGAACAGTCCCATCACCTTCAGCCTCTCCATGACAAACATTTCAATCTCTTCATCACCCTTCATGGTCATTCACTGCTCTCACTATTTCTTGTTCTGAGGAGCCCAGAACCAGACACAGGACCCCAGATGGGGGCTCCCCACAGCTAATAAGAGGAAGGATTGACCTGCTGATGATTGTCCTCCTAATCCAGCCTTGGATGCTATCAGCCTTCCTTCCACAAGGGTGCATTGCTGGCTAGTGTTCAACCTGGTGACCCCAAGGACCCCTTGGTGGTTGACCACCAAGCTGTTTTTCAGTCAGTCAATACCCAATCTGTACTGATGCATGGGATTATTTCTTTCCAGGTGTAGGATTTGGCATTTCCCTTTGCTGAACTTTAAGAGGTTCCTGTCAGACCATTTCTCCAGCCTGTCAAGGTACCTCTGAGTGACAGCAGACCCACCTGGTGCATCAAGCACTTTTCCCAGTTTTGTACTGTGTCCTCCCCTTGCTGAGGGTGCACTCTGTCCCATCGCCCAGGTCATTAATGAAGATGTTAAATAGTACTGGCCTGTGTGGACTTTGTGCTGCTGATGACAATCACAAGTCCAGCAGCTGAGCCACACTGTCCAGTTATCTAGCCTGAACTGCAACAGGATGGCTGAAGCACCATATAAGCACCATGGATGATGAATATGAGGCTTCCTCTAGCTGTCTGAAAACTTACTAATTCTTCCCAATCACAGTGTCTGTATCAGACACCCATAACAATATTGCCCATATTGGTTTGTGCATTAATCCTGACCCAGAAGTTCTCAACTATTTCAACATCTGCTCCCAGAGCTCCATGCCTGTCATCACTCTCTCACTTTAAGGGCAACTTTCTCTTTTCACCTTCCCAGCTTACAATCACAGAATGGTTCAGGCTGAAAGGGAAGGTACCTTTAAAGACCATCTAGTTCACCCCTAGCAGTGTGAAAACAGACATCTTTCACTAAATCACACTGAGCCACTGACTTTACAGACATGGCCATGCATCCAACTTCTTATTCATTTAAGAGTCCACCTGTCAAACCTGTATCACTCTAACAACAGCACCAGGAATATTGAGGGAGGCCTTATAGAAGTCTAGGTAGATAACAAACATAGCTTTTCTCTAGTCCACTGATGCATTTACCCCATCACAGGACACTAAATTAGTCAGGCCCAATCTGCCCTTAGCAAAGCAGTGTCGGCCGTCTCTAACAACCTTCTTGTCTTCCAGGAGGATCTGTTTCATGATCTCACCAGGCTCAGAGATGAGACTTACTGTTAAGTAGTTCCCAGAGTCCTCCTTTTTAACCTTTTTAAAAACAGGGCAATCTTCTCAGACATGAATCAGATTATGGAATATATTCACTTCTCTGCAAGGTAACTCTTTCTACGGGAATCACGACAGATTTGCATACGTGTGTGTGCCTGTAGTGGGATAGGTGGGATGGCATTCATCTTCACTTAAAAACCATGCAAAACAAAAGGCCATTCATGCACGCTTTTAAATTACATATATTAGCCACTGAGTCAGTGACCTTTTCTTTAATATTTCTACAGCCTGAAGTATCCACATCAATCAAATAACATTAAACAAACAGCACATAACTTTTCCCTGCCAGTCTTAATCATACACACCAAATTATTAAGCAACAGCCTTGCATATCTAGGACACCCTAAAAAAAACAAGACTACTTGTGAAGATATAAACCAGAAGCTGGTAGAAACTTCAGTCTGTTTCACCAATGTGTGAAGAATACCATCAGATGGAGTTTTGTGATAGAAATTTCAGCAACACAGCCATATTCTGAACTCCCCCAAAAGGGCAAGTTCCTCACTTGACAAATGGGTTAAGAGAGGAAATCTGTGCAAAAAAATAAAATAAAATATCAAAATAGGTGGAGCATGGGTCCTGTTATTGACATGTTGCTACCACAAGCAGCAGTTTTGGTTGAGTTCCTGGACAGGGTTTAGTTACGACTAGAAGCTGTGATGTTGAAAGATAATTGATTCTTGACCTACAATGATCACCTTGCAAAATTTTACGTTGTTATCCACTTTCATTATTCATAGCTGCAACACAGCTCTGCATTCTCATCTGGTTATTTTAATGATTTAACAGATTATAAATCAAGTGACAAGCTTCACAGACACTTTATAACAATATCTTCTAAGGTCTAGGGTAAAATATTCTCCTTCATCCTCTGACTCAATTTTTTTCACATAATTATCATATTAACTTCCTTATTTATATTGCAGTTTATATCGTGCTTCTTAACGAAATACTACATTTTGCTAGATTGGGGTTATTTTTTCCACTTGTTTTTTATTCTTTCCTCCAAACACACACGCATGTATTTTTAATAAGCAACTCTGCAGTTCTGTAGGTTCTCACTCCAAATAAACTCATACCTAAGAATGAAATAAAAAGATAACTTACCCTAAATTATTTCCAAGTTTTACTTGAAGAATCTTTTTATTTAAACTAGAAAATTCACTCCGTTGTGCTAATTCTCCAAATAGCTCAGAGTAAGTGCCCTATGTAGGACACCTCACAAAGAGCAGTTACGAAACCACTGAGATTTAACCACACTGGCAGTTTTCCTTTAATCTTAGTCCTTCATCATTATTTCTGCTCTTTTGCCTACTAGGAGTATTACTGGTCATTAAAAAAGCTGTATTCAGGGGCAGTGTATCAAAGTAAGTTACAGTAAAGACTGAACTCAGTATCATTCCTCTGAATATTGCTCTCAAATGAACAGCTACTTTGCAGCACCGTGCTATACTCTTGAATCTGGAAGTCCAAACTGTTTAATTAAAAATCTTCTTTTAGTATCTATGTAACATTTTTTTTATAGCTGATTTACCTTTTTCATATGCAGGCGTATTCTCTTGCAGCAACCTGCTAAGCTGGAACCCATTCAAGTGCACAAAACGTAGTTGTTCTCTCATTGTCTTGCCTCCAACAACTGGCAATATGAGGTTTCCAACACTATTTCTTGAAATTGGCAGACCAAGACCTACTGCCAGTGTGCTGGCTAAATCTGTCTGTTGCACACGTTCAGGTTGGGTTAGAGGACCTAGAATCAACAAAAGAAAAGAACAGGGGGAAAAAAAATGAGAGAGGTATTTCAATAAAAGGCCCATTCTATTTCTCCAGAGACAGCTGGCACCTTATTAGTTTCAAAATTTTTTCATTGCTGTTAGCTCAGCTATTTTAAGTGGTCTACAGAGAGCTGACTGATCTTTTTCAGCTGCTGTCCTCTGCTGCTGTAAATCCAAAATTTATTAAATTCTCAGCCAGTATCACTCTTCAATGCTAACAACTACTGTAAACACAACATGAATGTTATGCAAGTAAGAAAACAGATGGTCCAGGAGATCACCTTAACATCAAGTTGCAGCCCACATCTTAAGAGGGTTTCATAACTTTTACATTAGAAATAGCAGGAACCACTACTGTAGACTAATTTAATGCATGAACAAAGAATGAGAATCTAAAATAATGTTGACAGCATTCTAGAAGCTTCTCAATATAATGCCAACAGCTCAAGATTCAATTAATATCAGGTTGCTAGGCAAACAGAATTAGAGATCAGGTAAAGAATCCTGAGGCTCAGAATCTGTAGCTGCATGCAGGCAAACTCAGTCATTTTTAAAGGGTTCTGTGCAGGATCCCATTAACTTACAGCAGTTATCAGGATTAGCCTTCAGTCCCACAGACATCGGTACACGTGAATGATTTCATTAACATAAGCAACCTTTTGTTTAAGATTGCTGTGCCAATTGTTCCTTTGCATGTTGAACTAGTTACGCAGCAGTGTTTTTCTATTACGCTTTTGTTTTGTCCTCGTTGTAACTCCAGGCACTGAGTGTTTTAACTTAAGCACAGTACAGAAAGAATTCTATATAGTCTTTATTACTCTCAAGGCTCCCTTTAAGAGCATTAAAACTTCTCTCATTTCTCATCTATCTAGCTCCGATTAATCCCATATTTGTACGGAATGCCATAATCCGTAAAGCTTCTTTGCACGAGTGCCTGTATGTCAGCAGTTTTCAGATTTTATCTTTAAAGGCAAGTACTTAACTGGTTAAAAAAAGCCAAACTACCAACTGCATTTAGCCAATCATGGGTGACGCATCTCCGTAGAAGGCTACACGAGTAATATTCTGACAGCATACTAAATGCAAAAAGCCCACAGGATTACTATTTTGAGGTCTACCAAATTAACCACAGTACATTTTGTTTACAGTAGGATCATAAGGAGCAGTCACTAGAATCCTAATTATTGTACCAATGAGAAGTAAACTGCTGGATATTTACAAAAGCATCATTCGAAATCACAAACTCTATCCCAAAAGACAGGTGAAAAGATATATTTCACTGTATTATAAAAACAGCATGTCTAGTTTAAACCTAACAGAAAGCAATCCCAATGAACAGGAGATTGCATTTACAGAATCTATGCTTTCATGGCCTGGCAGTCAACACATACTGGTGAAATTCATAAAGCAAAAGCTTATCCAAGAGCTTTGGTCCACTCTTGACTTTGTTTTGTTTTTAGACCCAAGAAATGTTCAATGAGTCCTCAAGCAATGCTTTCTATTGCAGGTGAATAACAGCCTTATAAATGACAGACAGAAAAATGTACTTTACTGTGCTGCAGGAACCTCCAGCAAGATAAACAAATGAAGGTTCTGCAAACAGGCTTTAAAAGCAAAGAAATCAGATGGAAATGAGCAAGAGGCAGAATGAAAGGCAGAAGAATGCATTATAAGGAAGATAATCACTTCTGGTGAATATCACTTCACATTTCACCAATTCACTCAGTCAAGGAGTTTCTTTAAGCACTACTATAGAAATTAGACTAAAGATTCTCTACCACTCCATTTCCTTCTTGCCTCTTACCTTAAGCTATCTTACTTTTATCTTACATTATTACCTACAAGTAGGAAATCATTTTCAGAAACACACCAACTCACATCAATGATATAAAATTAACTATCACATCAATGATATAAAATTAACTACTTGGCCAATACAGTAAATACACTCACGCTCCATATTCTTTCCTTAAGGCTTAGTCATCAATAGTCATGTTTTCACTGCTGTCACCTCTCACCCCTTCACAAGAGCAATTCTTCCTCCTGCCTGTTAACTCTCAGTGTGAGAAACTAATTCATTTCTCTGTCCTAGCTGTCTGAGAGGGAAGAACAGAGGCCAAGGAAATATTCTGGAAAATGAAAGACAAAACTTAAAACTCACTTCAAATAGGATTTTGCTTCTAAACCTATTCATTTACCAGTAGCCCAGGATCTTGACAACAGATCTTGTTAGCTCTCAACACTCAGGTAGGGCAGTATTGTAGAAAATTATCATCCAAAAAAGACACAATTCTCTCAATGGTTACAAAGCTTAACTCATGGTTTTATCATGATACAGATGCTAGCTTTGGCTAAAACCAGAGTTTTGGGTCACACAGAATGGGCCTTACCCTTTCTTCTACAGATAGCTGTAGAAGAAACCAAAGTACTTTTCAGGAAGAACTCTAGAGCAAGTATAAATTAGAGTTGCCAATGTGTTCTTGGCCTGGTTTCAGCTGGGATAGAGTTAATTTTCTTCCTAGTACCTGGTACAGGGCTGTGTTTTGGATTCAGTATGAGAATAATGTTGCTAACATACTAATGTTTTAGCTGTTCGTAAGGCTTACCCTTACTCAAGGACTTTTCCATTTCCTGTGCTCTGCCAGTGAGCAGGTACACAACAAGCTGGAAGGGAACACAACTGGGACAGCTGACCTGGACTGGACAAAGGAATAGTTCATACCACAGAGCATCATTCCCAGTATACAAACTGAAGGGACTTGACTGGGGGCTGTCCATTGCTTCTTGGGGACAGGCTGTGCACCTATCAGCAGGTGGTGAGCAATTGCACTGTGCATTACTCGTTTCTCTTGGGCTTTATTCCTCTCCCTCTCTCCTTTTCATTACAATAATAATTATTATAATCTACACATAATTATTATTGTTGTTACTATTACAGTCATATATGGTAGTAGTATTCTCAGACTATTAGGGTGCACTATGCACTGGTATCTACTGGAGCCTTACACCAAGTACCACACAACTGCTCACTCACTCACACCCCCACCCTGGGGGGAGGACAATCAGAAAGAAAAGGTAAACCTCCTGGGTTAAGATAAGAACAGCTTAATAACTGAAACAAATAAAATATTATAATAATAATAGCAATGAAAAGGAGAGAGGGAGAGGAATAAAGCCCAAGAGAAAGAAGTGATGCACAATAAAATTGCTCCCCACCTGTTGACTGATGTCCAGGCCCTTCCCAAGTAGAGATTGGCAGCCCCCAGTTTATATACTGGGCATGATGCTCCATGGTTCGGAATATCCCTTTGGCCAGTTCAGGTCAGCTGTCCTAGCTATGCTCCCTCATGGCTTCTTTTACACCTGCTCCCTGGCAGAGCATGGGAAAACAGGAAAGTCCTTGATTCAGAGTAAGCACTAAAATATCAGTGTGTTATCAATGTTATTCTCATACTGAATCCAAAACACAGCCCTGTACCAGCTACTAAGAAGAAAATTAACACTATTTCATCAGAAACCAAGACAGTTCTGAAAAAGGTCATGCTTCTTTGATCCTTACCATTTCTCTTTTCAAAAGCAGAGCTGATAAACAGAAGAGGTGTGTGCACTTCTCCTTCTGAAGAACCACCATGACTACCCGTTTCAGACATCCCATGATCCCCACACACAACTAGCAAGTTGGGCAAAGAAGCTTCTTCCTGCAAATCACAGAAAAAAATTTAAGTTATTGTACTAACATGAGTCATATATATCACTTCACTATCTCTATCATTTTCAAACATGAATATGTCTCAAGGTGAATTTAATTTTTTTAAACTTGCTCACAACACCTGGGGCAGAAAACAAGAGATGTCTGCAACTAAATGTCGTGTGGTAATAGTAATTTTTAGAAATTAAGGCACATACTTACTAACACACTTGTCAATATATTAGGAAAAAAAACCACACAAAAAAATCCCAAACTTTAAAAACCCCTTAATTTACAGTCTCAAGAAACTCACTGAAAGATTAAATAAAGGCTATCACACTGCAGGAAGAAAATCAGGAGTTCAGGAACAGTAGCATTAATAGAGAAGTATTTCCCACTTCTTTTCTTCACCTTCACTGAGTTTTTAGTATACATGCTGAATTATTAATATTGCAAATGGTAATATAATATCAATTTAATATGAAAAAATAATCCTATTTCTAATACTCTCTAGTGTCTCAAGTGTTTTTGGGATCATGACTGATGTTAAACGACGCGTATGCTTCTGAATAAAGAGAACAACAGAAGCGTAAGTGAGGCCTGTCCAAGAATTTTAAGCTAACAAATCAAAGATGGCAGAAAATAAACAGTCAATCCACAACAAAGTCATTTTTTGTCATCTCTAGTTATTACCAGTACCTGTTCTACCCAAAAAGTAAAGTGCCTTTATTATTCCTGTATTCTAAAACTGAGATAAAGGCTTTCAGTTGACAAAAGCAAACATACTAAAAAGCTGTAGCAAAACCACTACAACATTTATGAAACTTCCACATGCAGGATTTAACCTCTCTTTTCATACAACAGTATCTATTTGCCTAAAAGTACTACTCAAATTTTGTGAGCAGCTATTCTGAATTGCAGTTGCCAAAAACAAACAAGAAAAATGCTTCGGGCCACTTGGTAGTTCAACACCCAGACACGGATGTTTAGGTAATTGACAACCTGTATATCCAAATCTAAAAACAGGTTCAGATGTGCTGCATTTAGCATAACACAAAATGCAGTTTACAATCACCATTTCCATCTGAATTTTTCAAATATGTAAGAATTAGGTATGCCTTCATAACTGTAGACATTAGAGCCATTAACTACACATGCCCATTACTCCTCCTGCTGAATTTCATTACTAGAAAGCACACCAACCACCACCATCCTAATTCACGAGTGATAACAGAATTTTGGCATGCATTCCTCTTGCTGCACACCAAGAGGGAGTTATTTCCCACAGCTGCTCAGAGGAGGCTCTTAACAGATGTTACTAAAGTCAGCCAGTAAATCCTTAAAAACACTACACTGTGCTGTTAACTAGGGAATGTCCTGGGAAGGGAAGGAAAAGAACTGAAGAATACCCACTTTAGTCCAGGAATAAACGAGCTACCATCCACAACCAGCGAGCATTTTAATGTCAGTCCACAACTAACAGACACTGATCCAAGAGGAAGCTATATTACCTTTGAAAGAAGAGAAATATGAATCTTCTTCAGTATGTTATCCATTTCACGAAGTTTTGGTCCCACTAATGGGCTGTTTGGTCCACTAATATGTCCAATATGGTCCAATCCCAGGTAATGTAGTATTAGGATATCCCAGTCTTCTCTCTTTAACACTCTATCCAAATGCCTGGTAACATTATCATCAACCTCAAAGAAAAGGAATACAATTAAAAGGTAAAAATAACTTCTCTCTTGTAAAAAACATGGAAAAAATAGATCGCACTACCCATGAAAATTCTGCAGAAGTTGATGAGAATTACAGTCACTCGCAATGTTAATGAGAGAAAAAAAATCAGACCAATTAGTTCAATGTCAGGCAGTGAAATACATTTCTCTTACGAAAGAGATTCTTCACCCCATTTACTTGTTTCTGGTCACGATGCATCAGATTACATACAAACAAGGCAAACGGGTTGCCAAGCTTCCACAAAAACTTAAACCACTTTCATCCTTCACACTCCTGATCTCTCACTTCACGAATTATCAAGTACATAAAGTATCATAAGCACAGGGAAAAGCCTCTGTTTAGTGCTTGGAATCACAGAAGGGCAAAAAACCCACACTTGCTTTTTCAAATCAGTTTTTGCTAGGCAAACACAAAAAGGTTGTACTTACTGCGAGTGAAAGAATTGGTAACATAGCAAGAAAGTAAAATTATTTGAAAAGTGCTATTTGGTGCCTAACTTACCTGTTTTCCTGCTTAGGTTGACAATGCATTTTTAGTTGCATATTTTCTCCCTGGATATTAAAAATTCTTATAATATTTCACATGCAACATCACTTTGTTGACTCTAGATATAACTACCAAAAAAATCTATAAAAAGCTGTGTGTTTAAGGGACTATATTCAGACAGATAAAGACTGTCTAAAGAGTTTGAGAGTTACATAATCACAGATCCAACAGCATACTTGCATTTTTCCACTGCATGTTGAAGCTTTTGCAAGTCTTACTAGTGTAACCAGTTAGAAGTGTCTTCCAATCCATTTAGACCTTTCTAACTGCATTACACATGTTAATAAAATATGTCAGTAGCAGTGGGTCAACAGCCTGAGGTTTAACAAACCATAAAGGTTCAAAAATGAACTAAAATTGCCAAAGCATTTACTCTTCGAGTCCAGAGTGAGAATTTTCACTATTTGTTTCATTTACTTTCTATGCTCCTTCTTTGATAACATAATGAAACACTACTCCTATTGCAATTACAAAAGTGATGCAATACTACAAAAGTATGCCTCTAGAAGACCAAGATAATCTATTAATTGGCCGCTTAAAGACGGCATTAACTAATATAAACATGATAGCAAACTGGAAACGTGGATAGTGGAATTTTTAAACAAAGCAACTGGTCTAACTTCCTACCACAAGAAGTTTTGCAAGGAAATCGTACATTTAGGAAAGTTATACAGTAACTGCATCATTCAAACACTTCCCACAGCATATGCACGAAGGACTGAAATGCTTAGTCCACAGTGCCCGTACCAACCACACATGTAAAACCAATTTCTATTCAATTGCCAGGTGTATATTTCAGAACAAGGATAGCTTTACTCATTCACTCTTACAAGTTGCCACTGTGTGTTTGTATTCACTTATTTACCTTGGGATCATACAAAGCCTCTCACCTCTGTAAAGTCTGACACAAAAAACGATGTAGTTCCATCATATTCCATGAAGTGCTTTGGGAACAATTTAACCCATGTATCATCACCATAAAAGATTATTCTTTTCCCAGCTGCTTTTGCCTGCCATATCAGATTGTCGTCCAACAGAGCTGGAGAATTGAGGTTCACAACAACATCAATGAAACCAGGTATGCTACCTGTCATCAAAGCCTACATGCAACAAGAAAAGAGACAACATTAAACAAGAAGCTTCCAGGGCTCAGAAGACAGTAGCAGTGTAAGCAGGAGGAAGCAATAAACCAGATGGCAGGCAAATTATACTTAAGTAAAGAAACATAACAAAGTAAAAGAACACAAGCTGCCCTGACACATAAGCTCACCTGCCAAAATACAGTTCTAGTTGATGTGAGAGATAAAGATTGCTTTACAAAAGGTAAAAATAATATTGCCTTAACTAGTGGACAGCAAAATGACTTTGTATGACTTAGTTGAAATTTGTTTCATTTACTAGTCATTAAATCACCAAAAAGATAGTTTAGAAGGTCTATAAACTGACTCAACATTCACAATGATAGTACATTTGAAACACTAAATAAGAAACTTCCAGGAAATGAAATTAAGTCCACCTATGAATAGTTACCAGACTGTCTCCCCCTCACTCTCTCACTGGCCTTCTAGTTGACCTACAAAGATCACTGCCCCAGCTTCTTCAATGCAGAGGTGTCATTCAGATCCATCACTAACAAGCCTGGATGATTAAGTATTTTGATGATACCGCCACAATTAATCTTTTAGTTACATGGAACTTCGCACAGTTTCCTTTTTAAGCTCTTCAAAAACATGACAAAACAATTTAATACTAAACTGGATTTTCTATCCAAGTTACAAGAACACAGAGAAATACCAATAAAAATGTTCTTGGATAGAAGTGGAAAACTTGACAACTGAGAGGCTACTGGCCTTCCCATGACTGCAAATAAAGAGATTATGCACTAGGGCCTTAACCTCTGGGCCATGGCAAATCAGGACTCTATCACATGCACTCCTACAGCAAAGAGAGATTCAGCCACAGATTGCCCTAACACAAAAAACCTGTCCTTCATGCCAACTCCAAGCATACAAAACAAACACTTCAAAACTTTCTCAAATGAAATGGGAAAAAAAAAAAACATTTACCTTAATTCGAGGCATAGTCACAGTAGGTGGCTTCGCTTCAGCAATGAAGCTGTAGGAAGTCCCTTTTTCAACAACTTGCGTAGTATATGGCATGAACTGTTTCCCTTTGGATCCAAACACAAAGTCATCCCTCAAAGCATCTATCAGCACAATGACAACTTTATTGAAAAGCGGTGCAGGAATCTTGGTCCAGTTGGAAACCATTCCTAAGCAACAAAAACAGGGTACACAAAAGTCATTAACAAATTTTACCAAAGACTAGGCAGAAGTTAAAAGGACAACTTCACCACAGAAATTAGTGCTTTCAGCTCCTTTATTATTTTTACATTTGGAAATGAGAAATTGCAAACAATGGCCAGTGTGAGAAGTATTCAGAGGACGCTGGATTTTCAGGCCATCCAGCACAGGAATAACACAACTGCAACTCCAATACAGCATCTAGGAAGTAAAACAAAAGGTGAATGGAATGTGTGATGTGAAATTGGGAAAATTGAGGAAAAGCTTTGAAATGGAGAACGTTCAAAGCAATAAGAAGGGGTAGCTGCTGCTTTCTCTCTTGTTAATTCATTAAAGCTGAACTACATATATCTGACAGACTTTTGTTAGAAAAAAGATGCTGCATTCACTTGTACTAACGTACAATTTTGCACATCAGAACATAAGTAAGGCCTCTTAATCAAATCTCACCATAAGATAACAGGAAAATTACAAAAAAAACCATGAGACAGCAGGAAAATTACAAAGACATAGACAATTTTTCTGAAACTTGAAGGTAAAAGATCTGTGCACACTTGCTGCCTTCAAGGCAGAAGAAGATTGAATGCCAGGTTAGTTCAGCCAAAATCCAATTCCAGAATTTCCAGAACAAGGTACATGGGCAGGCACAGCAAAATGCTGTGCATCAAGCAATAGGCAATGTCCTGCCTTCAGGGCCACCCTTCTCTTGCACAGCCTTAATTCTGGCTGCAGCAACTCTTGATCTGCATTGAGTTTGGTCCACATGGTGACATTAAGCTCTTGGCTCACCCTCTACAAGTCTCATTTCTTTACCAGGAAAAAACACAGAAGGGCAAAATGGAAGCAGAATGCATCCTACCCACAGACCTCTATTCAGACAAGATTGTGTTTAATCGACTTCTCAGCACATGCATTACATAAAGCTGGGGTTTCTACACTCCTTTAGAATAAAGTTTGTTTCTGCCTAAGCGGTTGACAATTTGGAAAGGTCACAGATAGCGATGCGTCTAACACAAGAAACTCAAAAAAAAAAAACAACCAAAAAAAAAACCCTCAGAAACTGTGTTTTGGAGTACATAAATAAGCATCAATAAACTGACATTCACAGACTTGTTGCTGCTAGTGATTTTTACAGATCAGGAAATGATGGAGGAGGGCATAGCAGGGGGAAGAAGGAAATCTCAAAAACAACAAAACGCTAACTACCAGTAACCCTAATTAAACTGATAATTTTGATTTAACAGGACTTGAATTATCAACTAAAAGGCATGCTTCGGCTCTCCATGAAAAACAAGAAGGCACCACTGGATGTACTGTCGGTAAAATCTTTCTCATAATTTACTCCTATCCACCTGCTTAGTGAAAGAAAGTTTCCTGGACACCAAAAATGATCAGATCATAAACATATATACCCTACTCCTAAGTTCCTCCTGCAGTGTAATTTATCAGTAAGTCAAAGTATTGAGAAGTTCAAATAAATTTTGAGTCACAAGCTATCTGAAAATACTTATTGCAAGACAGTGAAAACAACACATGGTGCAAGTCTTGGCATGTGGCGTGCTTATTTAGGGTTACTTACTTAGAGAACAGTTACTTTAAATGGAGCTGAACTTCTGCAAGCAGTGAAGAAAACCACAGGTTCTCTATCAAAAACTTCCTACAATGATGTGCTGCAAGGATTCACTATTACAGTCATCCCACAGGCAAGACAGCATGGAGTCAATGGCAGTCAGGACTCACAAAGGAAACAAGCAGGAAATACAGTAGCACTGGGGAAATAATCTTTCCTGAATAGACCTAAAGCAGGTTGAAAGCCTTCTGCATCATGTGTGTAGTAAGCAACACCTTGCCTTTAGAGCTTATTGTCCAGACCAAGAGATCACTGTGCAAGCAAATCATAACCCAAGAACTACAGAAAGAAAGTGCTCTTCCACTGTCACTCCATTTTTGCCTACTACATCTGGGACTACCAGTGACACACCTAAATTTAAACTGCCTGTAGAGCCCTGTGGTGCACACTAACACACTTCAACACAAATCAGTCCTCCCAAAACCCAGTTATCTGACGTCTCCATCCCACCCAAGCAGTCTCCCTCTGCATCAGTCTCCAGCCAATAATCACACGTGAATGCAACATTTCACTCACAGCAGCCTATCAAACATCTCTGGCAGTCTTGGTAAACTCTGGCTAAAAAGCAACCTGCCATCCAGCAGAATCCACTCAGGTCTGTTACCAGATTAGATTCTTTCATTGTTCCTGCTTAATTGGTATCAGCACATCACATTCGAAATTACACAACCTTCTCTTCCCTCCACTGTGTCTCACAATTTAAGTAACGACCCGATGATCTTTGTGGGTCCCTTCCAACTCAGAATATATTGTGATTCTGTAAAAAAAAGTCACACATTTTAGAAGAATAACAACAAATAACAAGCAGCTGAAGACCCAGTTTGGCAGGTACAGTCCTGTTCCACAAAGTTACTAAGTAGACGTCCTGAGCAAGAGCTTTGTACGAGCAAAATAACTCCTACTCCATTCAGCTGCCCACTGAACCTGAAGTTTCACCCTACAAGCTCCAAACACTGGTGAGGAACACTCCTTCAAGTACATAGTCCTCTTCTTCGCATTACTTAAATGCAACTTGAGACTGAACATATAAGAAAGTTATATTATCAACATGTCCTCTACTGACTCCCATTATAAAGATGCTTGAAAACTTTGGTTTCGCCAATTCAGCTACAGAATAGAGCAGGACCTGTAAAGACGGTGATTTCACATAAATAATAATGGACAGCAATACTGTGCACGTTGCAACCCGCATTGCTACAGTCACTTTGTCACTACTGAGGTGCTAAAATCCCAACGAGGTGGCGTTAAGACGCTCACACACCACAGAAGCATCACAGACACGATGGTTCTTGGGCACAACACAACCAGCGAGTTAACTCAGGGGTTTTAACTGAGACGGCATAATTTAATGCAAACTTGCCATTAAACAGGAGGGGTATGACGGCAACATCAGCGTCAGGGAACGGGGAATAAAAGACAGGAAAATCTTCCAGAGACGTGACAGCTGACGCTGGAGGCTTTTTGCCACCGTGAGCAGATGCTGCTGGCAGTAATCGACAACTACATGGAGACCAGCTAAGTTCTAAACTACTCCGGAAGCAGTTCTGGAAGCACGAAGGCGTCTCCAGAAAGGTGTCCCGCGGCACCGAGGGAGAGGGCGCGCTGGGCGGCTGCTCGCGTTACCTGGGCCGGGCGGGGCCGGCTCGGCGGGAGGGTCCGCACGGGCCTCTCTGCGGGGCAGAGACCTGACGGGTACCGGGAAGAAACCGCGGAGGAACAGCGCGACGCCCAGGGCCTGCACGAGGAGGCAGGAGGAGGCGAACACCCCCGAGCGCAGCCGCATCCTGGTACGGTCCCGGTGGCGGTACCGGCACCAGCCCCGACCCGTCCCGGACGGCGCTGCGCCGGCTCTGAGGGGCGGTCCCGCCGGCGGTCCGGCCCTGCCGCCGAGCCCCGCCCCCGACCCGCACCGACCAACCAGCGACCACCGCGCGCGCCCGCCGAGCCCCGCTATTGGCCAGCGGCGACCCCGTCCCTTCGCGGGCGAGAGGCGGCAACGCCGGGCCGGAAGTGTAGCCCCGCGCACCGCCCCCTCAGCAGCGAGCGCGGCTCCGGAACCGGCATCCCGCGTCCCGCACCCGCATCCCGCATCCCGCATCCCGCATCCCGCATCCCGCATCCCGCATCCCGCATCCCGCATCCTGCCCCCGCATCTCAGACCCGCGTCCCGCATCCCGCCCCCCCCCCGCCTGCGTCCCACTCCTCCGTCTCACCCCTGCTCTCCTACCCCTGCGACCCACCCCCGCGTCACACCCCGCCATCCCACCCCGCGGTCCGGCCCCGCGTTCCCCAGCGGAGAAGGAGCCGCTGGAGCGGGAGGTAAAAGGAGACTTTATGTAATGTTGCCACAAGGAGAGCATGGCAGGTGAGGAAGGAGTCCAAGCCGGGGACTGTTGCAGGTGTTTGGCAAAGCAGAACCTTTCCTCTCCACACACGCACACATTTCTCAATACAACTGAGTAGTGATAACCTTTCAGTCTTTCCATTGGAATGGAAACAAACTGGAGCAGGTGGGTCGTGGCAAACAAATGGGGAGAAATAAGTTTTAAAGGTTTAATTTTCTGAAAGAAGAAACTGAAGACACTCTGCAAAGTGAAGCAGTTTATACTGGTCTCACTATGCTCATGGATTTAAGAAGATAGCCTCAGAATTTCGTTCTTCCAAACAAAACTGCTTCTCATCTCTACTGGGGCAGTTCTTGTATGGCCCACCATTCCACCAGCAAGGTGTGGTAGGTGTTTCTGCAGCATACGTGACAAGTCCTTAGCATTACCTGTGAGTGGCACGTTTTCCCTGATCCCACAAGTGCAGTACCCCAAGGCTGCGCTCACATTTACACCTGGACTGGGCTGGCTGGGGTCAGTCCCGGGACGAAGCTGCACTGCCACAGTTTGCAGCCTTCACCCACAATTGTGTGTGTTGATGTGACACTACAAGCGACTCCAGAGCGTTTTTCCTGCTGGGCCTTTTGCCTCAGCACTAAGTGTTACCTGTTTTGTGTCATCATGGCTAGGCTTCGCGACGAAGATTTGGGAAGGGCTCTACCCACGTTTGTTGCAAGCGCGTTGGTGGCTAAAAAGGCCAATACGAGAAAGGCAAGTCCAGTTGCAAAAGGCACAGCAGAAAGACTCCTTAGCTGGTATATTCTGCAAGGCTCGATTCTTTCTGCGTTGTCTTTTCTCCTGAAGGGTGATCCTGCGTGCTTTCTCAAAAGCATCAGCAGCATTATAGATGGTGTGTCTCCAGGCCTCCCGATTGGAGGCCAGAGTAGACCAGTTATGGTGATCAATGTGGCCAAGGCTGAGATGTTGTTTCAGGGAGTCCTTGTATCTTTTCTTCGGGGCTCCTCTCTTGCGGCAGCCGGTAGCAAGTTCACCATAAAGCAGGATCTTAGGGAGGCGGTGGTTGGTCCTTCATCCTTGAGATGTGCCCTGCCCAACGCAGCTGTGTTCTCAGCAACACGGCCTCAATACTTGTGATTGCTGCTTGTTCTAGAACAGATGTATTGGTCACATAATCTGACCAGTGGATGTTTAGGATTGTACGGAGGCAGCGTTGATGGAAGCGTTCCAGGAGACGCAGGTGGTGGCGGTAGATGACCCATGATTCAGATCCGTATAAGAGAGTAGACAGCACTATGGCTCTGTAAACACTGATCTTGGTACTTTTCTTCAAGTGTTTATTTCGCCAGACTCTTTTATGGAGTTTTCCAAAAGCACTATATACCTTCGCTAACCTGTTGTCTATCTCCCCGTCAATCTTATCATCCGAGGAGATGAGGCTGCCCAGGGAATTAACTGCTGGACTGATTTGAGTTCTGATTGGCTGATGGTGATGTGGGGATGATGAAGGACTTCCTGAGGTGCAGGTTGATGGAGAAGTATGGCAAGCATGGTGTTGGAAACTGCAACGATAATGATCGCCTTCTGCTAGAATTCTGTGCAGAGCAACAGTTTACCATCACTAACACTATCTTTCAGCAGAAAAATAGTCTGAAGACAACCTGGATGGACCCCAGGTCTAAGCACTGTTTTGTGTAAAGGCAGGCCAAATACATTGTACCATGCTTTTAAAAATGTCTTCTGGCTGGAGTTTGTCAGTCTGTGGTTTTACTGCCAGCTTTTGCTGGCCAGCTCTCCATACTTTGCAACAGCTGTCACGAGGCAGAGTTGTCCTGATGTGAGAGGCATCTGTGAGTGGGTTTGGGATAAAAGCTTTGTGTAACTTCATATTCCTTTTGGCCTTTCCTATGGCCTCCAAGCATAGAGAAAAAATCAAGGAGCCTTTTGTCCTGTGGGTTCGTGCTGTTTACATGGAAAACTGGGTAATAGATCCCTGAGCACTGTGATACTTTTAGGCTTCCTAAGTGCTTTTTCTGGTCACTCTTTATGCATTATGCTTCTACTCAGACTAATTCTAATGTTTTCATTTCCTAAGAAGATCCAAAGCCGTTATGTTAAGAAGAAATTGCATTTTTGCAGATGCTGTTCACTTGTTTCTTTCCAGAAGCATGACTCTCAAGGCCCATGAAAATTACTATTCAGTAGTTAACTGCAGCTCACTATGGGCAGTGCAACGAAATTCAGAGAGAACATGCAAGGCTTTGGATCAGTACGAAAGGGAAAAAGGAAACTTTTGGCCATTGTGTTCAAGTTTAAATTGGCTTTAGGTAACGTGCTTTAGAGTTACATTATTTATGTTCAGAAAAGCTGTATTTGTTGCTTTTCGTGGGCATTTTCTACTCTCCTTTAAACCTTGAACTAGTGAGTGAGACTCTTCAGGCAGAAAATAAGAAAGATTCACTAACAAATATAAAGCACCGTAGTGTGGGCACTGTTTATAAATCACGAAACAGCATCTAAGAAACATCTTTTTTTTGCTTTCATGGACAAATATTAGTTTCCCTTGCAGGAATAAGGTGGAAATTCCCCAAACACTGCATCTTTCTCCATCATTTACAGACATAGATACACTTGCTGCCATGTGATTCATATTCCCCAGGACTTGTCTCTGGGCATTTACTGAGTACCGTCTTCATTTGGCAAGTTACTGCAGCAACATGCTTTCAAGTCCATTGCTATTGCACTTAGCTGCAGGGATCAAATATAGGGAAAATCCTGATGCTGCACAAGACTTTAAATCTGACTATGAGTCTATGAGCATGTTACAGCATAATATACTCACAATCACTGCTCTGCAATTCTGGGGCCATTTTAAAAGTGTTTGAGTATAACCTACTCTGTTGGGCATAACACATTTACACCCTGTGAGAGCTGGTGATTTCATGAGAATTCAAAGGAAATGTTTGTGTGCTCCCCAGGTTTTAAGCACACAACCAGTGTTGTGTGCATCAGGTTGTGTCAAGGGGCACTGACTGACTTAAATAGCCTATAGAAGGTTAAAGGTTCATGTCAGGATGTCAGAAAAGTGCAATAAAGTGCAATTCAAGTGATTCAGGAGACTGTAGTTTCATCAGAGCCAGCAAGCATTTTAGAACACAGTGCAACTCGTCCATGTGGGAGATGAATTTGCATCACTCCTTGCAGGAGCAGCGTATTGCCACTCAAGCAAACTTACCTCTCTGAGTCTTGAGGAAGAAGAAGGAATTTAAGGTTCTGTGCAGAGCCCTCACTAGAGGCATTTTTCCAAATCTTCTGAGAAATCAGCTGACAGAAAGCCAACCAAGCCTTGTCTTCACCAGGTGTACCTAACACTGGTTCCTCAACCAGTAGGAACATGTTTTGGTGAGCCTCTTTGCAACCAACATTCAAAGCAGCCAGGTGATATTGTTAATCTCTCTGGCATACCTCAGGGCTTTTCTTTACTAAGGCAACAAGTGAAAAGCAGATAAGGCAAAAATTTGGTGTGTCCCATGAGAGAGGAGCACACCACCTTCCAACAGTCTCTGTGGCCTCTGCCAGCACTTAATGAAATGCTGCCCATTAGTCAGCACTCAGCATGTCTGCTTCCCCCGCTCCTTTTCTCCCGATTCTTTGGCTTCTTATATTTCACAATTTGTCGGGGGAAAAAGGCCAAATCTTCCATTCTTCTCTAGTTTCAAACACAGCCAATATGCAGCCAATTTCCTTGGTATCTATTTCTTCTTTCCCCTTCTCTTACTTAACCTTATTCCCTTGTAGTTTTGCTCTCAGGTCTCTTTACCTGGTGTTAATAACTTCTAGGGATCTGCAGCTTACCACCTTGGTCTTTGAACTGCCTCAGGTATTCTCCCTCTCGGGGCCTAATTTAACAGGATTTCACATCTGAGTGTGTGTGTTTAGGTGAAACCTGCACATTTCTTCTGACCTTGATAAGGTCAGATATGTGAACATCTCATGCCAGTGGTTTAAACAAGCATCCTTTTCTGTGATCAGAGTGATACCTCTTAAACTTGCTCCTAATACATTCAATACTGTATTGGGGAATACATAGGGAATGGCAACAGTGGCAAAATTGATGTGTATAAGTAAAAGCCACCATTTTTACACACAAGGGGTGTGAAGCATATCAGTTAAGTGAAACAGGAAGGAAAAAAAAAACAAAACCTACTTCACAAGGTGATCTGACTCTCCGAAAGCACTACGACGTAGTTTGAAATCCAGAAGGACACACAGAAATTTTTTTCTGCAATCATTTCTCCATTCTCCAGTACATGGCAATTTGAATGTATGTCAAGTCTCTGCTGTATTAAGCCACAGTAAAACATCAAAAAAGGTTACCAAAGACTGCCTGCTGAAGTGTGATTCTCCCTCCTCCATCCTGGTGCACTGCAAAGTCTCCAGA